CTATCTGTCTATCTATCATCTATGTATGTATGTATGTATGTATGTATGTATGTATCTATCTATCTATCTATCTATCATCTGTCTATCTATCATCTATCATCATCTATCTATCATCAATCAATCATCTATCAGCTACCATCTATCATTATCTATCTATCTATCTATCTATCAATCAATCTATCATTGATCAATCATCTATTGTCTATCTTATGTCTATTATCTGTCTTCTATCATCTATTTTACATCTATCTATCTATCTATCTATCTATCTATCTATCTATCTATCTATCTATCTATCTGCCTATCATATATCTATCTATCATCTATAGTATGTGTCTGTATGTGTGTGGGCACACTTGCAAGTCAGACTACCTACCTACCTACCTACCTACCTACCTACCTATATGTAGATTTATTATGATGCCGATAATTGGAGAGAACTAGGTATAAATAATTTTAGAATTATAATAGCTTTATTATCTATAAAGTTGTTATCATCTAGCATGGTCACTGAAACCCATGATAGGAAATTATTGCCAACCGTCTTCCACACATAGGCTTCATGTTAAGGGCCTGGATGCTGACCAGTCCTCTACAAGAGCAGTGCAGGGTACACAGTCGGTGATTCATCTCTTGTCCTATTCAAGCCTCCAACTTCTAGAGACTTTAAAGGCTATGAAATAAAGAACACTGGCCAGACATAATATGTGGTCCTGTTTAGTAGCTGGGCTTAGAAGTTATGTAGTGTGAGAACAGATGGGGAGACTCCAAGAACTTGTTTTAAAAATGGTATTCAAAATCAAGTCTAGATTCTTAGCTGCTAGTCTTCTGAAATAAGAACCAACCTTTCAGATTTGCCTACTCCATCTTTACACCCTCTCCTGCTCTGTAGGCAGGTCTGTGCTTACTGTGCCCTGACCCTGACTGTCTTGATAGTAGTGCTTTAGTCTAGAACAAAGGTCACCAAATTATGGTTTGTGGGTCAGATACTGTCCACTAACACACACACTCTCTCTCTCTCTCTCTCTCTCTCTCTCTGAATGTGCCTGTGTCTGTGTGTTTTAACACCCATAAATTAAAAATGCTTTTCAAGTTTTTTGAAAGAGATTAAAAATAACTCACAGAAGAAAAAAAAAGTTATGATAGGTAAAATCATATGAAATTCAAATACTAGTCTCTATGAGCAAGGTTCTATTGAAACATATCAAGCTTATTTCTTAATATCTGTGTCTTCACACACTCTGGCAGAGCCAAGTAACTGCAACTGGGATGGATGGCTCACAGAGCCCACAATATTTTCTTTTAAAAATATTAATTTGTTGGGGCTGGAGAGATGGCTCAGTGGTTAAGAGCACTGACTGCTCTTGCAGAGGACCCAGGTTCGATTCCCAGCACCCACATGGGGACTACGAACCATCCTTAACTCCAGTTCCAGGGGAATCCAATGCCCTCTTCTGACCTCCTTGGCATTGCACGACATGGGTGCACTCACATACATGCAGGCAATACACTCATACACATAAAATAATAAATTTAAAAAAATTTTAAAAATATTTGTTTCTACTCTATGTGCTTGTATATCTAACTGAGTTTATGTATGTGCAATACATGCAAACAGGTGCCCAAGGAGACAAGAAGAGAGTGTCAGATTCCTTGGAACCGAGTTATAGGCAATTGTGAGCTTCCTGATGTAGGTACTGGGAACCAAACCTGGGTCCTCTGCGAGAGCAATGAACAATACATACTCTTAACAGCTGTGCCATCATCTCTTCAGCCCCTACAATATTTTCTAAGTGGCTCATCAAAAAAAAAATTTATTCATTTTTATTAATGTGGTGTGTGTGTGTGTGTGTGTGTGTGTGTGTGTGTGTGTGTGTGTTGGCCTGTGTATGGGTGGCCAGAGACCAGAAGAGGGTGACAGAGCCCCTGGAGTTGGACTTAGAGGTGGTAGTGAGCCTTCAAATGTGGGTGCTGGGAACTGAACTTGGGTCCTCTAAAAGAACAGTAAATACTCTTAACCCCTGAGTCATCTCTCCAGCCAGATGGGCATCTATGTGGCTCTTTACAAAAACAATTTTTCAACTTCTTCCCCTAAAACCTTTTCCACTTCTTTTCCTGGAACAAGGAAGACCTGGAGGCACTGTTTCCACGGCCATGTCTTGATTACCGCACACATCTGAAGGAACAGTTCATGTTTGCTTATTTCTCATCAGACACCCACAGAATTATATATTGAGGACTAGAGGAATAGCTCGTGTTCCCTAATCTTTTCTATAATACACACATGCTCTACAATGGGTGAAATATTGACTATTGTAAAAGAAACTGCATCATATCATAGAAGCACACTTTATTTCGTGTATATTATTCCTCATAACAGTTTGGTTTCTACCGGGGATTACTGGAAACCAATGGCTTGTCCATCCTGCTTCCCAGTGTTATTTTTTTATGGCAATTTACATGTAAGGGAAGAGAAAACTCCCCACAGTAAGAAGCCTGTAATGTAGTAGCTAAGTCACATTCTATGGAATGTAGTAGACAAGATGGGACTCTCCTAATTACTGGCTTGTAGTTAATAGAGACATCCACTCTATCGTTCTTGGAGTATAGCAAAAACTTTGGGGGTATGCGTCAGGAAGGAAATGCAGGTGCATTTGCACTTTGAAAACATAGGCTCTTCTTAGATTGGAGAGACCAGAAACATTACTGCAACCAACTTGTGGACTGTGTCATAGAAAGATTAGGTGAATGCCCCCCAAACCTCTAATTAATGAATGGTAGGCTTGGGAATCACATTCAGCCCTTTGCCTCTAACTCTACTGCAGGTCTCCCAACCCAAAATTGACCCACATTTTCATAATAGACCCCCAGATATCTGAAAATCAGTCTCATGTTTCTCTTAGCTTTGTCCTTGCCAGAAAAACTATCCTGGATCTTGCCAGTCGTGGTGGTGCACACTTGTAATCCCAGCACTTGGGAGGCTGAGACAGGAGGATTGCTGCATGGTTGAGGCTAGCTTGGACTATATAGTGAGACTCTGTTTCAAATCCACTCTTTTCTAAAAAAAAATCATCATGGCTTTCATTTTGCTTGTTAAAAGAGAATTTCTAGCTCTCAACATACTTAGTACTTTATAAATTTCCAATATTCCACTTTAAAAATGGTACCAAAGCTAGATGTGGCAGTGCATACCTTTAGTTCAAGGTCAGTCTGGTCAACATACTGAGTTATAGTCTAGCCAGTGAGGCCCTGTTTTGAAAAAAGTGGTATCCAGATTTGGTGACATATTCTTTGCAAAAAGACAGTATAAAATGTTACTTATAATGGGATTTCCCTTGATCTGATACCACAGCAAAATTTTTTGAGACAGGGTCTTCCTACAGCCTCAGCTGGCCTGAAACTCACAGAGCTCCACCTGCCTCTGCCTCCCTATTGCTGGCATGACAGGCGTGTGCCACCATGCCTGGCCCCACAGCAAAATTTTAATAGCTTTGAAGGTTAATTCTTATGTCAACTGCATTTTAGTGTAGGTCCTTTTTCAGGCTGACAGTTAAATCCCAAGGATTTTTTTTCACATGTAAACCATAATAAATAAAGTCCCCCATGCATCCCACATTTCTGCTCTTTAATTAATTCAAATTCAAGGAGTCATGTTTGTCACAGTTTGCATTATAACATATGAGCTTTTGTCACTAAGTTGTCAAGATACCACTTGTTTCCCATCTGTTCCTGTGCCAACATGCCCACACACCATCCCCAAAGAACTTTCATTCCCACAGTTCAGGCAGGCTCTGAGTTTGCCAAACAAAACATAGTAATTAATAATGGCCACACTCTGGCCTCAGAAACTTCTGGGGAATAGATCAGAGGGTGGGAAATCAGATTTCACTATACTTATAATCTTTCTTCTTTCATGAAAGAGTACCCAGACCACTCAGGCTTGCTTAAAATATAATAGGGACAGTTAAAAAAACTATCTGTAGAATCATGGAGGTTTGGTTTTCAGACACCCAAAGGATGTTAATAACGATGTTTTCTTTTCCTTCTTTTTCTAGAGAAGATCAGTGGCCAATAACCAGAGAAAATGCATTTCTGCTTGTTTAAGAACCTTCAAACACCTGCTGTTAATTAGCAATAGAAAGAACTTTGTTATGAACCTAAGTTAGGCAGCCACAACTTAAATAGGAATTTAGCACTGGCAATGTTGGCATTTCTTGATGACATTGTACAATTTTGGTTCCTAGCATAGGATGAGTGAGGTAATGTTGAGTAATGTTTCTGGTCCTATTTAATCTTTGATCCCATCAGGGCTAGAGCTCTGTTCTCTTATGAACCTGGTGGGCTTGCATGGTAGGATTGATGCTAGGTGACATCCCAGTCTGTTATAAGGCCATTTGGCTTCTGCCTGGATGCTTCTCTTTTGCATTTGCCTTTGGAGCCCAGGGCCTCTATGTGGGGAAGCCCAGACACACTGATGCTGCCACAGAGAGGCATTCGGGGACAGAGATGCTCCAGGCATCCTAGTTGCTGTCTGATGCAACTACAAGTGAGACTCCAAGACAGAATTGCTGACAACCATGAAAGACAGTGGCTAAATGAAGCTGGTCCATGCAAGTGTGGTGAAATGTCCACTGGAACATTCTCTGAGCCTTATTTGTGAAGAGATTGTGATACTGAGCCAAGAGAGGGGTCATGACAATTAAACACGATGCCCTGCATCACAGTTTTATGTGTATGCTAAGTGCCATTATTATTCCTGGTCCATAGGATGGACCTGGACCTTCACAGGAAGGAAGCATTGGCTTACCCTAGAAACATCATCTTAGCACAGAATTGTCCAAAAAGACATGAACCATTCTACAAAGTGGAGTGTGTCCTAAGGACTGAAGATATTCAGGCTGGATGCCCCCATGTCAGAAATGTCTCCCAAGGGCACCCATATGAGGTAGGAGTCACACTCAAAAGCAAACGGAATCTATGATTGGGGTTCAACTAGTGTTTTGCTATACTTATCTTGAGTCTCCCTATAGGCATATATGTAATTAGCCCACTATATCTTTTTCAATGACCTTAGATCTTTTTCATAACAAGATAGGACATATAAAAACAAAAGTAATTGATATTTAGCAGTAGTAACCTCTGAGAGTCCATAGAAAATTCATGTGGTATGTATTTAAGGAATGTTAAGATACCTTTTGGGGCTCAGCTGCTAAGAGCATGTATTCCTCTTCCGGAAGAGTTTTGTTCCCAGAACCCACACTGGGCAGCTCATAAATGCCTATAAATCTACCTCCAGAGAATCTGAAGGACCCTTTTAGTCTCTGCAGGCACCAGCACACACATGGTATACACTCACAGAGACACACAGACACAGACACACAGACACACACACAAATAAATCAATAATCTTTTAAAAATCTTATAAAATATATTTTAATCTACATCGAGAATTTCCGCAGTACGGTCACCTATCTAGTAATACACTAAAGTTTCTTACAACTTAATTTCCATGTTTTAATGCAAAACAAATAAAGTCAGTATGTAACTGGGCACCTTGCAGCACTATACCTTGACACGTGCTCTATGGCGTCCTGGAAGAATACCAGCTTTACTTCTTTGGGATTTATGAGGTTATAATCATCAAGATAGTCCTGTAGAACATTTCCGATTTTCTCTATATCAGGCAAATCATCGTAAATCCGATCAGCCTTATCTGCTCCAAACTATAAGATGATTTGTGGAGGAAGAACCAGGGTGGATCAATTATGATATATAGACATAAGTGACACAAAAATCTGGGAAGTTCATTGCACATAAGTTTTTAAAGTGATACATTGCAATAACAATGATTTTTGAAACATAATTCACACAGGAGCTTAGATTGACTTAATTGTTCTCACAGTTCCACCTCTCTCTCAAGGTTTTGCTCAGAAAAACTAAGTGATTGAAAATGTGCATGAAAGAATGTTATTGTTATAAACAACCATGCTGGACCTATGTGTAGTTTTTACATAGCACTCACCTAGGACTGAATATATTATGGAGAATAAAAATCCGGTATAAACTAAAGGGAATCAAGTTACCCATTTTGAACACTGGAGGATGTCTGTTTTCTGCTGTAGCCACTGTGGGATGGGCACTTCCACTAAAAGACAGGCAAAGCAAGAGGCGTTCTCTTGGAATCCAAGGCCTCATACATACGAGGTAAGTGCTCAGCGCACATGCACATACACACCTCTGTGTAACTAGATGTGAATTTGAATTCTGTTTTCCTGCCTTTACTTAAAATTCTATACCTGATTAAGACTGTTAAGGTACTAGGTCCTGTACCCAACTTAAGTCTTACTTTCTTTTTATCTTTGCTTTATTCGTGTGTGTGTGTGTGTGTGTGTGTGTGTGTGTGTGTGTGTATTGGTGTGGGGAGTATGTGTGTGTGTGTTTATGTCCAGGTGTTGTTGGTTCTTCTATTTTTTGTTTGAGACAGCACCTCTTATTGGTCTGGAACTTGGCCAAGTGGGCCAGGCTAGCCGGCCTGCAGCTTTTAGGGATCTGCCTGTCTCTGCCCTTCATTTCACCACACCTGAAATCTCTGGCATGTGCCACTGCATCCAGCCTTTATATGAAGGTTCTGGGGGATCTGGGGAGCTCAGGTCCTCATGAAGGCAAGCACTTTATTGACTAAGCCATCTCCATAGGCCCTTCTTTATTTTTCCATTTGAGAATTATCACTAAAACCACACAGGAAATGTAATTTGTGAAAGCAAACCTTAGCCCTTTATTTTAATGAGAAATTTAAACAAATAAATTGTTCATCTATTTTTTCCTGCCAGGTGGTAATACTCATCTGAAGGTAGATTCCAGTGTGGTCATCAGTACATGCTATAGAAGGGTGAGTTTACTGATCATCAAATCAACATTGATTGACAGCCTGCTAAATCTAGCTCTGTGTGTGCGGCTGAGGGCTTTTGTAGATGAAACAATGCAAACAAAATGAACATGGCCTTGACCTAAATGCATTCCCTAAATGAGAGTCAATTTGGTAGAACCAGATACTAGTCTCATGTAGATGTGATGGGTGGATGGAAGATTTACTCTAGGTAGGCTCAGAGGGTAAAATTAGGCCCATGTGTTGATATTATTGGAAGGACAGAAGAGCAGCTTATAAAGATATTGTTAAAAGAGAGTTACACACAAGAGCATTTTCTGCAATTAGAATTTCCTTGGAATGAAGAGGGCAGCTCAGTGACTGGCAAGCATTCATTAACTGGAAGTGTGTGAGCAGGGTCTACAGAGCTTTACAGAACATAATACAGGATTCGGGTCCCAAGTAAAGGCAGCTAAGTCTCTCTCTCTCCTTGTAAATCGAGTCTGATGGCTCTGATTTGAACTATACCAAAACAAATGCTATGTTTTCCCAGAAAGATCCAGAGAGTAAATATTTGATTTTTACAGATCATCCAATCTCCACCTCTGCTGCAAAGGCAGTTACATAGTATATGCTGTGTAGCTGGTGTAGCTGTGTTCTGATAAGATTTTATTTATAAAAACTAGACTGCAGGTGGATTTGGCTCGTGGGACTAGAGTTTGCCCCCACTTTGCCTAGTCATTTAGTCTTCACAAATGTAAAATTCTTGTTCAAGATGAGTCTGATTTAAAACAGTAAATGCTTTATAATCTTTAACTATAGCCAAAGCAACATAACACACTTGCCTTAATGAAATCACCAAATATGATGGGCTTGTTTAAAAAATATTCCAGGTCAATTGCAATTCCAAAGTGTTTGTCTGTTAAAAGACAACATCAGTTTTATTATGAGGATTAAGCTTGGATACTGCATTTAATAAGATATACAGAATAATACCTGCTGTTAATATGAAAATTGAGAGAAAGGCATGTTAACACCATGTCATTTCTGTTTGGTGGATAATTTACCAGGTTTAAGATTATTCAATAAGTATTCAAAACTTTTGTTAAATAATACTAGATATTTGTTCAATAAAGAGCACTTTAGAATTGTCATGATTTCTTTTTATCTTTATTTTTAAAATTAAAAACATTAAATTTTTTTTGAGACAGAGTCTCATACTGTAGTCAAGGCTGGCCTCAAACTCCTGGCAATCCTCCTGCTTCATTCAGCCTCTGTGGTGCTAGGATTGTAGAAATAAGACACCCAGCTAGTGATACTTTTTTAGTTAGCATATAAAATAATGAGTTTCATTAAGACATTGGATAGATGCATATCATTGTGTTGGCTCATACTGGCCCCTTGCCCACCCCTGGCTCTTTTCCACCCTCCTACTTACTCTCTTCCTCTGAGTTCCTAACCCCCTCTGCATTCATCTCTCTCTCTCTCTCTCTCTCTCTCTCTCTCTCTCTCTCTCTCTCTCTCTCACACACACACACACACACATCCACACCTGTATACAGCTAGATATAAATTTGAATTCTCCTATTTTCCTACGTCTACTTAAAATTCTACACCTGATTAAGACTGTTAAGTCTTCCTTCATTCCAGCAACACATTTTGATCATGTTTTTATATATTTGAGTGATCACAGGAAATAACTTTTATTTTTGAATCTTAAACTCATAAACTCACTTTAATTCCTCTTTATAGGAACCAAATTGCTTTTTTTTTTTTTTTTTTTTTTTTTTTTTAAGAACAGAACACCCAGGCATGGTGGTGCATGCCTTTAATCCCAGCACTCAGAAGGCAGGAGACAGAGGCAGTGAGATGGAGGCCAACCTGGTCTACATAGGGAGCTTCAGGTCAGCTGGGGCTACAGGGAGACCCTGTCTCAGAAAAAATAAAAAAGAACATCTTACTGGCCATTTCTGTCAGAATGATGTGGAAGTACTGCTTGTCTTCATTGCTGATCAAGCGATCATGGAACACTCTTTGACATTCGTGGCAAAAGAGTCTAAATACCTGCATTTCTTCTCTTACTGTTCCCGGATCACATTGGAGGATACCTGTTTTTTTTTAAGAAAAGGAACAAACAAAAAGGAAAATTCTGCATTTGTGGAACTTCTAGTAATACTTTAATAAACTAGAAAACATCTAAGTCCGACTTGGTCCCCACAGTACCAGAAAAGAATACTTCCCTGTGCACATATGGATAATGATGGGGCCTCACTTAATGCTGTGACAAGGACACTTTTCTTTGTTTTAACTGAACGTGTGATATGGTTAGACTTTACAGCATAAGCGGCGTTCCTTTTCTTATTACATGGTTATAGTGGCTCAAATGAGGTGTATTACATTTCTTTATGTGTATGTGTTGTACATGTATGTATATGTGTGTGGGTCCTGTGTGGTATATGTAGTGTGTATGTGGTATGTCGTGTATGTGTGGTATATGTGTGGTGTGTGTATATAGTAGGTGGTATATGTGGTATGTGGTTAGTGTGTGTTGTGTGTATATATATGGCATATGTGTGGTGTGTGTATAGGGTATGTGGCAAGTGGTCTGTGGTTCGTGTGTGTATATAGTATGTGGTGTGTGTTTGTGTGTAGTATGGGATATATGTGGTGTGGTTTGTGTGGTGTCTATGGTATGTGGTCTCTGTGTGTGTGTTGTGGTGTGTATATGTGGTGTGTGGTGTAGGTGTAGTGTGTGGTGCATGTGGTATATGTGGTATGTTGTTGGTGTGTGCGTGTGATGTAATGTATAAATGTGGTATTTGGTTTGTATGTGTGTGTGTGGTACAGTGTGTATATGTTGTGTGTGACATGTGTGATTTGTTTGTGGCATGTGTGGTGTGTGTGTATATGGTGAGTGTATGATGTGTGGTGTGTTTGGCCTGTGTGTGTGTGTGTGTGTGTGTGTGTGTTTATCTCACAACTGTTCTCCTTCTGATGCTTATACTATTTCTTTTAAAAATATTTAAAAGAAAATATTTATTTTTTTTTAATTCCGTGTCTATGTGTGTCTGTGCATGTGAGTGAAGTGCCCTCTGAGGTGTTAAATTCTCCAAAGCTGGAGTTATAAGCAGTGTGAGTTGCCTGATCTGGGTGCCTGATGTGGTATCCTCTGGAAAAGCAACAGGCACTCTTAGCTGCTGAGTCATCTCCCCAGCCCGGCTTACAGCCTTTTCAAAGCCCTTACTCAGTCTCATTCTTCCCCAGTATCCAGTCTCCAGTAAATGTTCCTTGTCTGACTTCTACTCAGATTATCCAAAGTACTCCTCTAAACAAATTAATATGGGGCTGGGTGCTGGAGAGATGGCTCAGCAGTTAAGAGCACTGACTGCTCTTGTAGAGGACATGGGTTTGATTTCCAGCACCCACATGGTGACTAACAACCATCCATAACTCCAGTTCCAGGGGATCCAACACCCTCTACTGGCCTCCATGGGCACTGCACTTGCATTCATGAGGCAAAACACATACATAAAATAAAATTTAAAAAATTAAAAAGTAGTATCAATTGTTATTGCAAATATAATTCTAACAATTTAAAGTTACAGTGATGTTTATCAGTGCTGGAATTGTTCCTTCTGCTTGGGGGGGGGCTCACCACAATTGTCCTTACATTGTGCTTGTGGGATAAGGAGTATTACTGTGTACTCAGGAAAGGCAGAGTTTGTGCAACACAACATAACAGGTACTGCCCCCATTGCCTGCTATAGGAGATTTCTATAGAAAATGATGCTCTTTTTTTTTTTTTTTTTTTTTTGAGATTGGGTCTTGCTACATACTCCAGGCTGGCCTGGGACTTATGTAGACAGAGCAGGCTGTGAGTGCCTCATAATCCCCCTGCCTTAGCCTCCTAAATACTGGGCTTACAGGTGTGCACCACCATGCCCAGCAATGATACATTTAAAAACATTTCCTGGTTGTGGTTGTGTGACATATGCGATTCTTAAAGTGCTTAAAGTTGAATTACTTTTGGTTAGTATTTGTAGAAATAAGAGGCTTTTCAAGATACTTTGATGAAATGTGGGGACAAGGAGAAACTGAAATTCCTTGTTTACTTTATAATGTATAAATGGAGCAGATAAAATGGATCTTGAATTTATTTATTTTTTTCTCTCTTCTTGTTTGTTTATTTTTAAGACAGGGTCTCCCTGAGTCCTAGCTGTCTGGAACTTGCTGTGTAGACTAGGTTGTCCTAAAGCTCACAGAGATCCACCTGCCTCTGCCTCCAGCATGCTGGGATTAAAGGCGGGTACCACCACACTTGGCAGTGGATCTTGAATTTTGAAGCTCAGAAGTCATATAAAAAACAGGAATAGACAGGTGATAGGGACAGGATTAGTCATTTTCTGAGGATTGGGAAGTATGTCTGAAGCAGCTCACCAAAGACACGAAGTCATATTCTAATGTTTCTATGAAAAATGAGTTCATGGATCCCGAGGCTGTACGGCTAATACAGGAGAGAAAGATTTAGGTGGAGGAGGAAGAACACAAGTCACTGAGTTGTCTTGTGGCAAGGATGGTTGGTGTGCCACCTTTGAATGTCCCCAGACTCTTGAAGAGGGAGGAAAAAGGAAAAACAGAATCACCAAGCCTTAAGAATGGGAACTGGAAAGATGAAGATCCTGTGGAGAGGATGGAGTGGAGAGGAGTCGGTGGGGTCACCGAGGCTCTTAAAGCCAAGCCCTACGCCTGCCATGGGCCATTGTCTTCAGGTTCGTTCTCAGCCTGTTAATGAGCATCAGGTCATGAGTTGGGAACTAAGGACAGAAACTGGGGCTGATTTCAGGGACCCCAGATACTGCTCTACATGGAAGTGCTCAGAAGCTTCCACTCAGGCTACTTTGCAGATACTGGAAACAAACGTAGGTGCTTTAGTATATTTGAATCTTCACTAGGGGAAAAATGTTAAGAGTGAGTGGCATAGAACACAGAGCACTGGGTAGAGAGTCACAGCACAGAGCACAGGCAGCTAAGAGCTAGCGTCCTTGTGCACAAAATCAGGGGAAGGGCTTGATCCAGGGATTGGAAATGCTTTGTTTTCAAACTTCTATGGCATTCATTCATTCATTCATTCATTCGGTGCCAGGTACATCTCCAGGCTTTCTTTTCAGTGGTGAGCTAAGCAAAAGGCCTTCATGAAACTCACATTCTAGTAGGTGAGACAGAGACATAAACACATGTAGAGAAATAGGCTATGATTTGGGGTGATATATGCTATGAAGGGACACAGAGGGGCAACCTTTTGCAGAGGAGGTGACATTTTGGCAAGAAAGAGAGCCGTGATAATATCTGGGACCAGTGCATTCCAAGAGTGTTACAGGAGCCTGGGAAGGACCACGGAAGACAAGAGCGGAGAGACCCAGGGCCAGGTGGCACAGACTCAGCCTTCAGAGTCCGAATAGGAGTCACCTGTGGCTGCTGTGCAGAAGGCCGGGCTGGGCTCTCGGTAAGGAGGGCAAGCGGACAGACTGGAAGCTGATTAGAGATGATGCTCTTCCTTTTGGAAAGATTGGTGAGAGAGTGCTGGGGAGGTAGCTCAGTCAGGAAGTGCCTACTGCACAGGCATGAAGACCTGGGCTTGATTCCCGGAACCCATGTGAAAAAGCCAAGGGTGGTGGTGTACACTTGTAATCACTTGTGCGGGGAGGTGGAGACGGGTGGACTCCTGGGGCTTGCTGGCCAGAAAGCCTAGTCTGCTTGGTGAGTTCAAAGCTAGTGAGAGACCCTGTGTTAAAAAATAAGGTTGACATCTGACTTCCACACCCACTCACACACTCGCACATATACGTGTGCCACTACACACACAGACACAGAGACATGCACACATATGCGTATACACATACACACACAAAGAAATCTTGGTGAGAGATAATGGTTTGAGCTAATGTGAATACAGACAATGGAGAGAATTGGTTAGATTTGGGATATATTTTGTTATTTTGTCTTTAATTTTTTTTTTTTTTTTTTTTTTTTTTGTGGCGCTGAGGACTGAACCCAGGGCCTGATGCTTGCTTGCTAGATATAGTGCTCTACTACTGACATAATCCCCAGCCCTGATTTGGGATATATTTTAAGGAAAAGTTGTGACTACTGTTTATGGAGTGGATAGGGGGTTATCAAGCCTCATGGACAGAGGGGTTAACAGTAGCCTCCCTCCTCTGAGGCAGGGATACCCATGGCCAGTGGTGGAGGGAAGAAGCAAGAATCGACATTCAATTTGCCAAGTTTAAAACGTTCAACTGGACAGCTGAATGTGGACAATGAGAAGTGTGTTGAATATGTGAATCACCTGTTTAGAGCAGAAATTGAAGTCTAGATAGATGGTGTGATGCCACAGAATTGACTAAGATTAGATGGAAAGTGGACTGAAGACAGAACCCAGGGAGGGGCCACAACAGGAGAAGCCACAGAGGAGGAGCAGCTATCAATGCAGATGGAGCAGCAACAGCCAGGGGGAGAGGAGGCAGCACAGGAAAGCATGCACCATGGGCTGCTGGGACAGGGCAGAGGGCCTGTGCCAAACACCGCCAAGGTCTGATCTTTGGGTTTCAAGGGATGGAGAGGTGATCTCAGGAGAGAAGTGGAGTACAGTGGCAGGCATACACTTTGATTGACATATATTAAAGTCCTGACAGGAGGGATAGTGGGGAGAGGCCATTTTTATAGGAATCGTTCTGGAAGAAGCAGAGAAATGGGACAGCAGGAGAATGAATTTTTTAAGATGGGAAGTATTAGAGCAAGGTTTTCTTGTTTTCTAATCCTGCTAGGGATGATCTAGTAGAAGAGGAAATTATGCAAGTAGAGTGCAATTACGGGAACCAAATCTTTGACTAGGCAGTTGGGGTGGGAATTAGTATCAGAGGGAGCATAGTACATGACAGTTACAGGGATAAGATGAGGCAGCTCTGGTCTGATTGCTTCAATTTTTTGGTCAAAAATGGGTTATCAACTGAGAGTGAGAAAACAGGAATGTTGGACGTTTGGAAAAGCCATGGAGTTCAGCCTGAGGTAGGGATGGAGGGGGACTTGGACAATATATGCTATTTGTCTTAGTTACTTTTCTGTAGCTGTGATAAAATACCCTGATAAAAGTGACTTAGAGAGAGTTTATTTCAGCTCACCATTTGAAGGTACAGCCCATCTTTGTAGGGAAACCACACTAGCAGGAGCTTGGAGGAAGTTGGTCACATTGCACCCACAGTCAAGAAGCAAGGAGTGATGAATGCTTGTGCCCAGCTCATTTCCTCCTTTTAATATGGTCTAGGATTTCAAGCCCAGGGAATGGTGCCACCCACAGTGGGCAAGTGGTCCCACCTCAATTAATCTAATAAAAATCAATTAATCTAATCATCTTCCAGGTGATTCTAGATCTCTGGAAGTTGGTAACTGAGATTAACCATCATACTATGGGTGACCAGTTGAGACACCTTGGTACACACAATTCTACTGCTAGATTTTGGGCCAATGGAAATGCAGGGAGGGTGCATAATAGAGAATGCAGGTTCAGCACACTACCTTGCATACACTTGGATAAATCTCTCAGATTAAAGACATAATGGGACTTGGCTGGGGTTGGTAGGAGGTCAATACTCATCCTATTATAAATTTCAACTGCAGCTTCGACAATGTTTGGCGCTGTTTGCTTTACGGCTGGTGTGAAGTCATTCAAGAAGCCATTTAAGATGGCCTAGAACCAGAAATGTAACATGAGAGAGTTAGGTATTTTTTAACCAAATACTTGTCTTTCAAATAATATAGATTTGATACCTTTTTCTAATAGCAACCAGAATGAAAAATTCCAACACAGATACCTGACTATCAAATCTCTTGTTCGTTTCAGAATATGCTCTCAAGAACAGGTTCATTCTTGTGCCTTGTGGTTGCCTGGGAGGTCTGAGTGGTATTCATAGCTGCCCTGTGATTTACCATGATGTTTCAAATAATTTAGACTTCTACTCAGTGAGGGCCCCGAGGGCCTTAGTTGAGAGTACATACTCATCTGGAAATGAACTAAAGTATTTACTCTGAGTTTCATAGGTGAATGACACCCCCCCCCATTCAGCCCATATGGGATTGTGAGTCACAGTTTAAGCAGTTTTGCTATACAGCACTCAGAGGTTTTATATGTGAGGTAGTATCCCTTAAATGACTTATTGTACCTACTTCAAACATTTTAAGATTAATTCCCATGGATGTAAGGATGTCTGTATGAATAGAAAACCCCTCTCCCTATACTAAAGGCTCTGTCCCTCTCTCTTCTCTAGGAGAGTCTCCGCTGGTTAATTGTGTTTACTTGATTTCTGCAATGGCAGTTGCTGACACAACCAGCTCCTCTAGACCAGTCACGTGAACTGTCTTAGTCTACCAGCGTCCTAGTTTCGTTCCTGTTGCTGTGATAAAATATCCTGACAAAAAGAATCTTAGGGGAGATTAGCTCACAATCCAGGTTATAATCCATCATAACAGAAAAATCAAGGCAGCAGGAACTTAAACCAGTTCGTCACGTCATGTCACATCCACAGTAAGGCAGACAGAAATGAATGCATGCATGCTGCTGGCGTGCTCTCTGCTTCTGCCACCCTTTTTTATTTTATTTTTTATTTTATGTGTATAAGAGTATGTACGGTAAAATATTGTAATTTCTAATATACCACAGTCTGCGATCTGAGCCCAGATGCTTTAGGCTGTATTTGCTGGTGGTGTTGGGTGATGCCGTGTATCATGCAAAGTGTGAATGTTGTGTGTGTTGTGTATGTAGATGCACCTGTGTTGTGCAATGCCTGTGGAGGTCAGAAGAGGGCGTTGTATCCCCTGGAATTGCAGACAGTTGTTAGCAGCCATTTGGGTGCTGGGACTGAACCTGGGCCCTCTGCAAGAGTAGTCAGTGCTCTTAACCACTGAGTCATCTCTCCAGCTCCTTTCTCTCCTCTTATACAGCTCAGGATCCCCTGCCCAGGGACTGGGGCCACCCATAGTTGCTTGAGTCTTCCCACATCAGTTAATTTACTTAAGACAGTCCCCCACAGGCATGGCCACAGACCAACCCAATGCAGACAATCCCTTCATTGAGGCCCTCTTCCCAGGTGATCCTGGGTTATGTCAGGTTGACAATTAAAGCAAACCATCACATCTCCCATTTCCTGCCTCTGTGACTGCATTCACCCAAGTACTTTCTGTTCCCAAGATCCCTTCAACTTTGTGAACTCCTGTCTTTCTATAAAACCTAGCTCACGATCTGGCCTCAAGCCTCTTAGTTGCTTGGTGATAGCATGTTCTAGTTATCTTTTACCATCAATCGCATGTATTGGATACTTCTGATGAACACCTGCAGATTAGGTAGCATTGTGTTCTCTACTTAAAAGATGAGGACGTGTTCCCTGAGGGAAATTAGTGGAAGAAATATGGCTGATTGTTCATAGTGTTGGTGGAGGAAATGATGTTGTCTGTTTAAGGTGTTTGAACTCTAATGTCTGGAGTGTTGGGTCATTTAAGTGGACGCCCAGGTTTGGAAGGCAAGCCTGAAGTGTGCATGAGCTGAGCAGTGGATAAGATCTTAAGAAGGGTGTGCAGCATCCTAAATATCAAGGACCCAAGACATAGCCTTCCTTAAGGGTAGAGGTCATGTCTGGATAATCTTTCTGCATTCTGAAATGGTCTTCCTTTGAGATCACAACCACTAATGATGTTCTCCGGGAGCTCACGGTCACTTGCTTTCTGCTTAGGAAAGGGATGGGAGGGCTCCCTAGAAACATAGCAGGCCACTTTGATTTGGGAGCCTCAAAAAACATCTATTTTCTTTCCTCTCTCTTGTTTAAGTTTAAATCCACATTCACCTGAAAAATCTGCTTTAGACTGTGCTCTGAGGGCACTGGAAGGCACAACATGCTGAAGTGTCGGATGAAGCGGGGTGTCACAGGATTGCGACCCCCTCCTGGGGGTGCACATGCCGAGACAATTGTTACATCCTGCGGGGAGAGAAAGACACTTGGGTCACCACTCAGGAATCAATGTTTATGTTGAGGACCTACCAGGAGTTATCATTGCAATACATTTCTGAATATATCGGAGGTCACTATTAGCCCCTCATTTAGAGAAGAAAACTAAAGCTAGGCCTTGATGGCTAAGGAGGCTGCTCAAAGCCAAATGAGGGGTTGGTAACATTATTATTATTATTATTTATTTTTTATGTGTTTGCGTGTATTGCCTGCATGTATGTGAGTGTACCTGTGTTGTATGATGCTGCAGAGGTCAGAAGAGGGCTTTGGATTCCCCTGGAACTGGAGTTAAGGATGGTTCACAGACGCCAGGTGGGTGCTGGGAATCAAACCTGGGTCCTCTGCAAGAGCAGTCAGTGCTTTTAACGGCTGAGCCATCTCTCCAGCCCCAGGGGTTGCTAACATTTTAAAAAGGACAGTCTGGCTGTCTGCAGATTGGGGATAAGACCTGGGGTGTGTAGAGACCAGTTAATGTGGTAGTTTAACCCTCTTGATATTCCTATGAGATGGAGCTGTTGGTTTTAGCATTCTATGAGAGAGAAGGCTTGATTTCAGACAATGACCATGGAAATGAAAAAAAAAAGTGATCAGAGAAATATTTACAGTGAATAGCTACTAAAGGGAATATACATTAGAGGGAAATTATGGGATTTGGGCTGGATCTCCTCCTCCTCTTGGTCTAATAACACCATTCATTCTGAAGGTCTGCTGGGAAGGTTAATCAAATTAGGCATTGGAAAACACTTCGAGCAGTGCTTGGTGCAATTTGTCTTTATGATGAGCAAAAGTACTCCTCACTCCAGATCTGCCCTCTTCCTCTGACCCCACAGCCTGGCTGATGGGCCTGCTATCCCCTGCTGTTGTCACACATCACCACACCGAGGCTGTGCCCCTCATCTCTTCTCCTCTTGGAGACTGTAGCGTCCCTGGTCCTGCCTCTTCTCTAACTCAGTCCTTTCTGCCAGCCAAGGGAATCTTTCCAGAATACATCCTTCAGTAATTCCCCATCACTGAGAGGATAAACTCACATTCCTCATCATAGGCCTGCAGCCCTCTGGGATGCAAAGTCTGTCCCTCTTGCTGTTCCGGGTTCACATTTCACCAGGGTATTTCAACGCTCCCTGCTTCTGAAGTGTAAAGTGCTTGCTGCTTTGCTCTGACATGAGCTGCTTTTATAATCCAGGAGCCCATCTTTGGGAGGGCTTTTCTTATCCTCAACCTTACCCCTCACCCTGACCCTGGCTTCTCTATGTCTCTCCCACTCCTCATCCTTCACACAAACATCTGTCTGCTCTCCAAAACTGAGCTCTCTGGAGACAAGGACCATTTCACTTGTCCACTCATCTTCTAAATCAAGTATAGCAGGAACTCAGCATTGATGGAATGAACTGAACCACAATGGAGAAGCACTGAGCCATGTTTTATTGACTGAATTGTATCTTTTACCCATAAATCGTATGTTGAAATTCTGAGTCTCACTAAAATGTGACTGTGTTTGGAGACACAGGATTTGAAGAGGTAATTAAGGCAAAGTGATGTCATTAGGGAAAACTCTAATTGAACATGAGTGGTACCTTTATGAGATTAGGACACCGATGGACACAGAAGGAAACCCACTGCTGTGGTTTGAATGTGGTTTGTCTTCTCCATGACTCATGTTGGACTTCAGTCCCCATTGTGAGGTATGTAGAGTGGAGAAGCTTCATCTAATTATGGTGCTTTGAGATTGGGACTTTCAGAAATGATTAGGATTGGATGAGATCATCAGAGTGGAACCCTCACTGAATTTTGGTGGTCTTGTTAGAGCAGGGAGAGAAACAAGACCTCCTGTTTCTCCATGTGATACCTTGCTGTTGTGCACCAGTTTTCTCTGAAATGAAACTTTCCATGCAAGAGTGAAGCTCCTTAAGAGGCAGAAGTTGTAAAGGGAGGCTTGCTAATACTCAAGAAACCAACAGCTCACAACTCTAAGAAGTCCTTGAAACTTACCAGACTCACAAAACTCCTTCTTCCACAAGGCTATAAATAGTAAGGACTGCTGAACAAAGACTTTTCAGCCTGCTGAGCTGCCTGCAGGTCATGTAGAGAGCTCCAAAGTCCCAGCGTTCATGAGTGGTCACCCATGCTGGAATGGCCTTTTGGTGATGCAGCTAATTTTTTTTAATGAGACATGATCTCCCTGCAGCTCTGACTTGGAACTCACTATGTAGACCAGGCTGGTGTCAAATTCAAAGAGATCCACCTGTCTCTGTCTCCCTAGTGCTGGGATTCAAGGTGAGTGCTACCACATCTGGTACTGTAGCTGCCTTTCAGCTCTTCATGCTCCTGTATGTAACCCTTCACCCATACCTGTAAGTAACCCCAATAAGCCCACTGGTTCACCAACTGGGACTTTGGCAGCATCTTTACTTTGATCTGTTGGTTCCCTATCTGAAGTGGGTAGACATTTGTTCGTGTCTCCCCAGGAATAGTGTCCCACAACACTTGTGGTGCCTCAGTGCTCATCACCACATGCGGCCTCTTGCCCTTGGATCAGAACCACAGGCCGCAATAAAGCTCTTTATAAATAACCCAATCTATGATATTGTTATTAGCAACAGAAAACAGACTTATGAATCCATATAAAGACATAAGGGGAAGACAATCATTTACAAGTCAAGGAAGGAGGCCTTAGAAGAAACTAAGTCTGCTGACATCTTGATTTTGAACTTTAGCCTTCAGAACTATGAGAAAATAGGCTAAGTTGCCCAATCTGTAACATTTTGTTATGGTTGTTCTAGAAAATTAATATGCTATATTTGAACACAGCAATTAGTTAAAAACCTTAAAGTAACCTGTATGTCTTTCCAAAAGAGTTTGTTTCTATCATAAAATCCACCAAAATCTTGATACTGCCGAAGCAATTCAATTGGAGGCTGGGAGCCATATCGATCTAGTTGGGGCATGTTCAGATCATCAACAAAAATCACAACTTGTTTGTTTCCTGGTGCTCCTGGGGAAAGAAAATAAATTTTAAAGTATTATAATTTGTCCTTAAAATGAAAGACCAAGCAGTTGTGGTTTGAAAATGATGAGTCTCCATTAAAATTCATGTTGAGAGGGGGTAGGGAGATTGCCGAGGACCTGGGTTTGGTTCCCAGCACCCACAAGGGTGTTCACAGCTCTCCATAACTGCAGTTCAAGGGGGATCTGACACCCTTTTGTGGCCTTCACGGACATTTCATGACACAGGTGTACTTACATACATGCAGGAAAAACATTCATACTCATAAAATAAAAATAAGTAAATAAAAACTAAAAACAAATTCAGGTTGTGGCTTGGTCACAGGTATAATGGCATTGAGAGGTGATGAAGCCTCTGAGGCATTTGGCGTCATAAGGGTTCTGCCAGGAGATGTAGACCTGACCAAAATGTCCGCACTGTCATGCCAAGTGGTTCCTTACCCTTAGTCTCAGAGCACATGATGATGGTAGCTCTCCTGTGAGGTTTGTACCTCTCTCAATCCCAACCCACCCCCCTGCCCTCACCAGGTGTGTGGCCTGGGCCTGGAGGAGAAAGGTCACGCTGTTTCCATGGAAGGGAGCAGTGGAATGCCAGAGGTTTCCTTTCATAAGTGCCGCTTCACCCTCACATCGAAAACAGGGTTTGATGTTTGAAACCATCCCCACCCCATCAGTGGGAAGGCCAGGACAGTGAAACTGCCTAATGCTACATTGGAAGAAAACAAATACACATACTCACCAGAGGGAAAAAGTAAATAATGGAGGAAAGGGAACAGAGGAAGCACGGGTGACTCTGCCCACTTTGGCATCCAGTGCTTGAGGATATAGCCACATCCATGTGATTGGAATGAGTGATGGGGGTGATTCCAAGGCAACTGACCTCGAGAAGCCAAGTAGTTGGACCAGCGTGGTGGAAAAGATCTAAAAGAGTCATTCTAAAACTGTGAGCCCAAGCCAGAAAACAGCCTGGCACCTGCTGCCCTATGTCTAGCTAAGCAGGTAGGAGGCACCCGAGAGGAGGCCACGAGGGGTTCAGCAAGTCCCACTGTTGGCCTAAGGAGAACTGTGCATGGCAGACAATGTGGAAAAGCAGCTGAGCTGAGCCCTGGCTGGTACCCATCTAGAAGGGTTGTGGGGTGGGTAAATGGCAAGACAGTGGAAGGTGTACTACTGGAGGGCAGGAGTGACAGGAGGATGAGACCTTGATCCCCACCCTCAGGCAACCTTACAGTAGGGAGACCGATGTCTGACCTGTGACCGGCTCTTCTGGCATTCTCACAAGGACTTACTCCTGAAAGCCTGCCTCCCAGGGACTGTGGATGGTGATTCAGTACCAGAGAAGCAGAGGTGGTACACAGAGATGCTCAAAGTGTTGGTGAGAGAGGACACTAGTCTATTTCATCTTCTTCAGTGCCAACACATCAAGACCTCCACAGAAAGAAGGGCAGGGAATAAAGTCACCCCATGCCACCTTCCATGCCAGTACCTGGGACTGTAAACCTGGCTTATGATAGAGAAGAGGGTGAACTTTCAATTAGGGTTCAAGTTAATGTCCTATTTTGGCCCAGACTCAAAATATAACCCCAATTAGGTTAACTAATAAGGGAAAGAGGAGATGCTAAAAATTTGGCTTTCATTGACTGCCGAAAAACCATTTAATGCTTATCCTAATTGAATCCAGAAACTTGATGTGCTAGATTTGAAGATGTTTGTTGATTTTAAGATTTATTATTATTGAGCTGGGTGTGCTGGTACACCCCTTTAATCCCGGCACTCGGGAGGCAGAGGCAGGTGGATGGATCTCTGCGAGTTCAAGGCCAGCCTGGTCTACATAATGAGTTCCAGGCCAGCTGGGGCTACAGGAAGACCCTGTCTCAAAAGGACCAAACAAAGAAAAGATTTATTATTATTATATTTAAGTATGTGTGTTTGTATATGTCTCTCTGTCTCTGTCTCTCTGTCTCTGTCTCTGCCTCTGGCTGTCTCTCTCTCTCTGTGTGTGTCTGTGTGTCTGTGTGAGTATGTGCCACATGTGTGCAATGCCCATAGAGGCCAGAAAAATGTGTTGGATCCCCCAGAGCGGGAGTTACAGGCAGTTGTGAGTCACCAGGAATGGGTGCTGGGACCAAACTTGAATCCTTTATATGAGCAACATGTACTCTTCTTTAAAAAAATATTTATTTTTAAAATTTTGTGTGTATGAGTGTTTTGCCTGTCTGTATGTAAGTGCACCCATGTTGTACAATGCCCTTGGAGGCCAGAAGGTACTGGAACTAGAATTGGAGTTATAGACAGTTGTTAGCAGTCATGTGGGTGCTGGGAACTGAACCTGGTTCCTCTGCAAGAGCAGTCAGTTCTTTTAACCACTGGGCCATGTCATCTCTTCAGCCCCAACTTTGTTTTTTGTTTGACTTTTTTTTTTTTGAGACAGGGTCTCCCTGTGGCTCCAGCTGGCCTAGAACTTACTGTGTAGACCAGGATGGCTTTGATCTCACAGAGATCCACCTGCCTTTGCCTCCTGCGTGCTGAGATTAAAGGTGTGTGCCACCAGGCCTGGCCCAACTTTGTTGATTTTACACAAGAGAATTCAATGGCTGTTTGAAGAGTTTGGGTGGAGAGAGGATGTGCCATCAAGTGGCAGAGTCGTGAAGATGTTTTCTGCTGAAGGCCATTGTGGTGGTTGATCATCATTGTCACTTTGTCTAGATCTGGAATCACCTAGGAGACACATGTCCAACTGTCTGCAAGAGTGCTTCCAGAAGGGATCAACTGAGAAGACCCATCCTAAATGTGGGTGGCATCCCATGGACCAGAGTCCCAGGCTGAATAAAAATGCCAAGATGGAGAAAGAGCACCAAGCACCTGCAGTCATCTCTGCCTCCTGGCCGTGCATGCAGTGTGACCAGCCCTCCCACTGCCATCCCTTCCCACCATGATGAACTAGACCCTCAGGTGTTTTGTCACAGCAATGACAGAAGTAACTGACACAGTGGTGGTAGAAATAAATAACTTGCTTATTACAGTACGATATCTAACACAGGAAAAAGTACCATTAACAAATATGGTTTGTCTCCACCAAAACTCCTGTTGAGACAGAGTCCACAATGTGACAGAGTTGGAGCCTTTAAGAGAGATTATTGCTTTTCACACAGGACCTAGTTTGTTACCACGAGATGGGTTGTTGCAAAGTGAGTTAGTTTTCCTACAAGCTCTCTCTCTCTCTCTCTCTTTTTTTTGAGACAGGGTCTCCCTGTAGTCCCAGCAGGCCTAGAACTCACCATGTAGAGCAGGCTGGACTCAATCTCACAGAGATCCACTTGCCTCTGCCTCCCAAGTACTGGGATCAAAGACCACCATCCACTGCCCCAGCTTGCCCTCTTCCTGCCCCTTTCTCCCACACGTGTTCCTGCCTTTCCTGTTACCCACCATGAGGCTCTCACCAGAAGCTGATGCTGGCACCATGCTATTGGACATGTACAACTGTGAGCTACAGAAACCTTCCTTCTTTGTAAAGTAACTAGTCTCAGATACTTTATTATAGCAACACAAATCAGACCAACCTGAACCTTTACAAATAAATTAAGTACGGAGTACATGTAGTTGTCATTTCATAACATATACTATTTATGTCATTTGTTTGCCAAATGAATAATTTGTGTGAAACAAATTACAATGATAATTCTTACCTAGAATATTTTTTCTTTTTCTTTCCAGTTTTGACTCAATGATCTCTTGTGTCCTTGCAGATGAAGTTTGGGCAGAAAAATTTAGATACACAGGGACATAGCCAGATGATTCTTGAATTCTATTTAGCAATCCTCTTGCAATAACAGACTTTAAATTAAAAAGAGTATGTTAATTGGTTCCATATTCAATATCATATTTTTCAGTAGCTTATATTAGTCATGACTCAGTACAGTGAATGAGAAACAGGATAAAAGGAGGATGGTTGGATCCAGATGGAACTGGTTGGTGTTCTCTTGCTGGACGTTCCTTTCAGTTATATTTATCAGAACCAAAATAAAAATCCATTCTCATCAGCTCCAGCTCAGCAAAAGTTATATCACAGCACCTTGTACCTTGCTTTACTACCAGACGAACCTCATAATGAAGGGGACCCATACTGCTTTAAAAAACTCTATTTGTTTATTATTTATTTAGTCTCTCTCTCTCTCTCTCTCTCTCTCTCTCTCTCTCTCTCTCTCTCTCTGCCATGATGTGTATGTGAAGGTCAGAGAACAATCTGTGGTAGTTGATTCTCTCCTTCCACCATGTGGGTCCTGGGGACTGAACTCAAGTCGTTGGGCTTGCTTGGTGGCAAGCCATCTTGCTCGGCCACATTTCTTTCCTTTTTTATTTTTTTAAGATTTGTTTATTGCCTTTATTTATGTGTATATGTGTGTCTACAAGAGTTTCTGTGACCCACATATGTGCAGTGCCCATGGAGGCCAGCAGCTTTGGATTCCCTGAAACTGGAGTTACAGGGAGTTATGAGTTGCCTGAGAGGGGTGTGGGAACTGAACCCAGTCTTCTGCAAGAGCATCAGTTAGTGCTCTTAAACTAGCCCCTGGCCCACATTTCTTATAAAAATAACTTATAAGGTGAACAGTGAATCCTTGCTTGTGTGGAATCCTCTATGTGTTTTTTTCTCCGTTTTTCCTCCCAAACATTTGAATGACATTTTGGCTGTGGCTGTGTCAGCTAGAAGTAAACAGGAAACAGGATGGAAGGACCTTCGTCAACAGTCTGTCAGGAACACAACTGCTCTGGTTCACCCAGTCAGTGTGGCGGCAACCCAGAAACATCAACGGGTGGGAGACAAAAGCCCTGAACCAAAGCCCGGCCTGTTAGGTCTGGTTTTTATATGACACCAACCCAAGGATTTATTCAGAAACTAACAGCTTGGGATAATTTCAGGGTCAACATAGATTTAGCACAGTTACATTCTTCCCCCTAAAGTGATAAAAATCTAAAAAAATTTTCCCCTGGTAAATGATGTATTATTTGTTGTGTCAACAATTCTAAGTCCACAGCGTCCTGATTTTTGGACAGAGCTCCTGTCTGATGCCAGCCAGTACCTTGCCAACTCCAGTTGTTCCAGTGAACAACACGGAATGCCTGACTGCCAGTAGTTTCTCCATTAAATATCCATAGCGCACTGTGTCCGTTGTGGGGACCAGCATCTCAAAGAATGGAATATCCTTGCTGTACTTGAAGGTAGGTATGATTCGTTCCCAGGGATCCAGGCGTTTGGCGTCAAAGTCTAAATGAACGCTCCACAGATCTCCAGAGCTGGGAAGCTGGAGTATAAAATCAAACACCCCTTTCAGCAGGCAACTGACAATACTGTCTAATGAAAATAGATACAGTCACAAAGGCAGCCCAAGAACATGAATGGATTTGTATTTCTTTTTCTTTATGGGAGGTTCTGCTGGCTTTGTCACTTTCCACCTTATTATTTGGACAAAGAGCGATTGGCCAAAGCAGCCAGGGGGCTGAGTTAGGGGCTGCAAGACTAGAAGTCCTAAATGAAGCCTCCCTATGCCATGCGTGGGCTGGGTTTGGAGGTGCTCCATGGGCACCTATGGGACCTTCCCCATGTGGGAAGACCCTGATGTTTCGCGGTAGGCCTGAGAGCCTATGGGGCCTGAGAGCCGAGGAAACTTAAAGAGTCTGAGAATCTACAGAGAGAGTGCTGTTCTCAGTACTGTTCCTGTAGATTATGGGCGCAGCGAACACAGCTCTGGGCCTGCTCTAATAAAGCAACAGTTGTCTAAAAGCAGTGGAATCCTGGGAACAGAGGACAGTAAGGGCCAATTTATGTTTGGATAACCTGGGGATGAAATAGCTATCTGGCATGGGCCAAGATGCCTAATGCTAGACATCTGGAGGGTTGAGTCAGCACAAAATGACTGACAATGGATGCCCATGGACCCTGATATTAAACAGTGATGTAATATGTTATGCCACTATTTTGGCATAATGCCATTTTTCTGTGATTCTGTAAATACAGTCTTGAGGTCAGAATTCTGAGCCCTTCAGTTTCACCAGCCTGCTGTCTATGTCTTCTATAGGCCTATACACCTACCTCTGTGTGGCCTGTGTACAGGAGGGTATGTGCAAAACATATACAAATATCCCATTTTATAGATTGCAGAGTTTGGAGTCCATGGGAGAATCTGAACCAGTTCCCCATGAATATTGAAAGACAACTGTACACACATATCTATTTTCATATAATCATGAGTACTCGTACTTCGAGTTTCAATCCAATAACACAGTGTTCATTAGAATCTTTCTTCTGTGTTTGCAGATCTCTAATGGTGAGCAATCTGGTTGTCATAACACATTTGTTCAATCTTAGGGTGCATTAAAATCACTAGCCAATCACACTACGAAGGGAACATTTGCTAATTGGGATTCAATATTCATCTCCAGCACAGGAGCCTTAATGTATTGCATATCTTACCGTCTTCAAATGGCTGGGAAAGGACTCCTAAAGTTGTTGTTGTTGTTGTTTTTAAATACAGTGATGTAAAAGGTAATAATTAAAAAATCTTCCCAATGAATAGCTTATTTCTGTAGCAGGATTAAAGCTATTAAAGTTTTAATATTAAGTTTTTAATTTTAAGTATTCAAAATTATGATGTTACACTCATTTGTTCCTCACCCTGGCATCAGGATTATCATCAAACTGTGTTCTAATAAATGTATCAAAATAATCCCAGTAGTTTTCAGTTAAGTTTCCACCTAAAGACCATAAATAACAGAATACAAACGTCTGGCACAGCACAGTGTTCAGTTTCTTTTGCTCCTGAAAGAATAAAGAGAAGCAGTGTAAATATTTTATAAACCAAAGGAACAAAACCCTAAATTATAGTCTTGGGGCTTCTGTCTTATTTAGACTCATGTGTTTAATGGTTCACGAGATGGTGCTTCCTTAGCTACATACGGGGACATGACGGAAAATGAAAGCAAGACTCAAGCAGAAGGCACATCCCAAGGCTGTCTTCACCTGCTTATCATAACGGATGCCTGCATGAGGTAAGAATGCTGAGAACTGGGACTGTGCTGATGAGCACCAGGGAACTGAGAATTGAGTAGAGGAACAAACTACAAACACTCTACTATTCTTTATAACTTTGAGATTCTTTGAGTCCAATCATAGTCATTAGCTGCGTGAAAAATTAAATTAGAAATCAAGTGATCACGTTTTAGATAATCTGGTGTTTTTATTTGCAAAGAATCGTACAAAACAATATTATTTTCCTAGTTTCATAGTAATAAGAAAACTTCACATAGGGCTGGCAAGATGGCTCAGTGTGTAAAAGCTCTTGCCTTGGAAGCCTGACAAAGTTTTGGTCCCCCAAAACCATGGTGGGAGGAGAGAACTGACTCCTGAAAGTTGTCATCTGATCTGCACTGTGGCATGCACACACCAGCACTCCCACACACATACGCACATGCTAATAATAAATTCAAAAAACAAAACCAAGTTTCATACCATTGCCATGCTAATTCCATCACTGCTAAGCAGCAAAGACTCCAATAAGCAGCAGAGTGTGGTGACTTTGCTGATGTCTACCTGGGGGATAGCTTGGCTGCACTTTTTATTGATAAAACGTAGCCCGTCATCAACATAATGCTGGAAAAGTTTTAATAAATATTCTTGGGCTTCCTCATTCAGCTGAAAATGAAAGAAACAGATAATGTTTTAGTAGGTTCTTAATGAAGATGAAACAAATGATTAAACTTAGAGGCTGTTTATGCACATTTCAATGTATTTGGTACTAAAAGTTGTTAGCAACACAACATATGAAAGAAATTTCAAGGAAGCCCATGACCCTGGTGCATAGAGGGACTACTGGGCTCTGAGAATGCACTACTTCTTTGTTCTGTGAAGAGTCCTGGGGTGTTCACTTTGTGATTAGCTCTGAAGGTACCAGTGCATGTTTCATAAGCCTTTGTATACAGTCCTTCACAGCTAAGAACGACAGAACAGAGTAGCAGAGAAGGTGCCTCAACACCTCTGTAAGGCACAAGGAGTTATCTCCGAAGGTCTAAAACTGAACTTAACCCCTTAATACTGTATCCAAAGTCCAGCCTGAGTTTCTTTCCAGCATGCACATCAAGTGGCTCACAGCCACCTATAACTCCAGGTACAGGGGATCTGACACCCCTTTCTGGCCTCCTTGGCACCTGAACTCACACTTACCCACATGTCCACCTCACATGCATATATGCACAATTAAAAATAAAAAAACAAAACCTTAAAAGGAAGAGGTAAAACTGTCTTTATTTAAAATGACATGGTTATCTACGTATAAAATCCTTCCCCCAACTGACAAAATAAAACAGAACTAAGAAGCAATTATGCAGTAAAGTTGTAGGATACAAAGAACACATACAAGTCAATTAGATTCTTACATATTAACAGGAACACCTGGCATCTACATTTAAAATGCATAACCGCATCACATTAGCAACAAGAAACAAATAACTATAAATCAAACCAAACATGTACTAGATCTATACGAGAAACAGACAATATTCTGATGACCTAAACCAAAGATCTGAATAAATACTGAGATATATCACATTCATAGATAAGAAGAGTAAACAGGTTTAAGAAGTCAGAGTCATTAAATTTCATATATAAATTCATCTGACACAATGTCAATCAAAATTCCAGAAAGTTACTTTGTAGATAGTAACAAATTGATACTAAAATCCATAAGAAGAAAGACTGGGAACATTCAACACAATCTGGAGGACTGATGTCACCCAGAGTGTTTAGTACAAGGTTTAGTTCAAAGCTAGAGTAATAAAGATAATGTGGCAGTGAAAAAAACTACACCAGTGAAACAGGAGAGAGCGTGCAGAAGCCCGGTGCTAGTCCAGGCCTGTCATTCCAGCACTTGGTAGGCTGAGGCAGGAGGACTGTGAGTTTAAGACCAACATGAGCTACATGACAAGATCTTGTCTGCAATCCACCCCCTACATACTAGAACAGAACAGAGAGCTCAGAAACAGATCCCCACAAATATAGTGAACACTTCTTTAACACAGAGCAAAGGTAAGAGTTGAAGAAATGGCTCAGCTGTCAAGAACATATGCTGTCCTTTCAGAAGACCGGGGTTCAGTTCCCAGCACCCACACAGTGGCTCACAACTGTCTGTAAGTCCTGTTCCAGGGGATCTGATGCCCTCTTCTGACTTCGACTTCCACAGGCACTGCATGCACACGGTGCACTGACATACATGCAGACAAAGCATACATACCCATAGAGTACAAGCAAACCAAATTTAAAAAGAACAAGGGCAAAGCCACATGTGGCGGCACATGCCTGTAATCCTAGCACTTGGGAGGTAGAGGTGGAAGGAGGATCAGGTCTTCAAGGTCATCCTCAGCTACATGGTCAGTTTGAAGCCATGAGACCCTATCTCAAAAACAACAGCAACAACAACAAAAGCCAAGAAAAATAAAAAAAAGCAAAGGCACTCCAGTGGACAAAGGATAACATTGTCTTTTACAAATTATAGTTGGTACAAATTAATTTCACACACTAATAGGTTTCATAGGTTTCTGTACACATGTATATTGTCTCTATCTACCCAGCTCCGCTCTCCATCCTCCCTGCTCCTCCTCGCTCTTCCCTCAACAGTCTTTAGGGTTGGTTTTTTTTTTTTTTTTTTCGTTTTTGAAGCAGGGTCTCCCTGTAGCCCCAGCTGTCCTGGAACCCACTACGTAGACCAGGCTGGCCTTGAACTCACAGAAATCCGCCTGCCTCTGCCTCCCAAGTGCTGGGACTACAGGCATGCACCACCACCCCTGGCTTGCAATCTTTAGGATTTTTTAAAACAGTCTTTTCAATAAGTGGTACCAGAACAGCTGAATATTCACAAAATGAAAACAAATAAACAAAGAAAACCAATATAAAACCAAATGAATCCAGACACTAACCTTAGACCCCTTACGAAAATGAATTCAAAATTTATATTTTATAAACCACAAAATACAAAACTCGTAGAAGACAACATAAGGGAAACTGAGGCAGCCTTAGGCTTGAGAAAGAGTTTTTAGATACAACACCAATAATATGATAGATGAAAACATTTGATGTTGGACCTCATTAAAATTAAAAGCTTCTGCTCTGTGAAAGACGCTGTTCAGAGGGAAAAAATGGAAAGATTATGTAGTCTGAGGAGAAATCAGAGCATTTTTAGAAGAATAAAAAAGCCACAGCCCAGAAAGAAACATTTTCAAAAGACAGAATTTGAAAAAAACTGTGTCAAAATGTACAAAAAGTGCTCTCTCTCCTCTCTCTCTCTTCTCTCTCTTCTCTCTCCTCTCTCTCCTCTCTCTCTCCTCGCTCTCTCTCTCTCTCTCTCTCTCTCTCTCTCTCTCTCTCTCTGGAGATATAGTTGTATATAGCTGAGGCTAGCTTTGAACTTGATATGCAGTTGATGCAGGTGCTGAATTCCTGCCTTTGCTTCCCAAGCACTGTGATTGCAAGCTTGTGTGGCTCTGTCTAGTTTACAAACAACACTTGACATCAACAGTAAAAAAACAACCCAAAAGGTCTGGTGTGGTCGTGAACACTTTTAATCTCAGAACTTGGGAGGCAGAAGCAGGCAGATCACTGTGAGTTGGAGGCCAGCCTGGTCTACATAGTGAGTTCCAGATCAGCCAGCAGTTACATAGTGAGACCCTGTCTCAAAACAAAATAAAACAAAAACCAAAACAAAGAAACAAACAAAAATACCAATTAAATAATGGGCAACAATCTTCCTCAATAGGCACTTTACGAAAGATGATATACAGATAGCGAACAAGCATATTAAAAGATACTTGAGTCATATTCCATATCTGCATATTAAAATAAGACATCGCTCTATCTGCCTGTTAACATGTGTAAGATCCAAAGCACTGAAAATACCAATACTGCTAGGTATTTAAGTGAGAGCTGCTCTCTGCCATTGCTGGTATAAATACAAAATGATGCCGCGACTTTGAAAGACCGTCTGGAATTTCTTATAATTGAATGTATATCATGTGACCCAGTAACTGTACTTCTACTAATTTATCTAAATCTGTTAAAATGTCAGAAAAACCTGCACACTGGTATCTGGCAGTTTTTAAAAACAATGACTCAAACTCCAAGTATCCAAAGTGTCTTTTATTGTGAATGGATAGATAAGCTGTGGTATATCCACACAATGGCGTATTCCTCAGTGATAAAGAGAAGTGAGCCCTTAAACCACAGAAGGACACGAAGCCACCTAACTGCATATTACAAAGTTTAAAAAAAGCCAGTTTCAAAAGATCATATACCATGTAATCCCAACTGCCTGACAGTAAAAAGGTAATTGATTGCTAGGGGGTTGAGGGGTGGGGAAGAGGATGGACAGCCACAGCATAGAGGAATCTGAGGGTAGTGACGTGCAGAACTAGAAGAGCAGATGCATAGTGTTACATATTTAAAACCCCCACGCACCATACAACACAGAATGAACCCTACCAGAAACCATGTTAATAATAATACATTGGTACCGAGTCACTATAACAAGTCTATCACATCAATGCAAGATGCTAACACTGAGGGAAACTTGGGGAGGGAGCACACAAAAGATTCTCAGTACGGTCTTTTCAACCTTCCTATAAACACAAAACTGTTGTAAAGATAACAAAGTCTGTTGGTTTAAAACAGCGACTTTGGGGGCTGGAGAGATGGCTCAGCAGTTAAGAGCTCTTGTTGCTCTTGCAAAGTTTGGTTCCTAGTATCATTGGATGGCTCACAACTGCCTGTAACTCCAGCTCTAGAGGGATCCAACACCTCTGGCCTCTGCAGGCACCTGAACTCACGTGGTGCATATATTCACACACAGACACACAGACACACAGACACACAGACACAGACACACACAGACACACACGCAGACACAGACACACACAGACACACACACAGACACACACACAGACACACACAGACACACAGACAAACACAGACACACACAGACACACACAGATCCCTCTTCTGGCCTCTGTAGGCAACACACTCATGAGCATATACCTACACACAGACACACAGACAGACACACAGACACACACACACACACACACACACACACAATTAAAAATAATAAAAATCTTTAAAAAACCTGCGGTGACTTCAGGGGACTAGAGAGATGGCTCAGCAATTAAGAGCTCTTTCCTGCTCTTGAAAACGACCAGTTGGGTGGCTCACAACTGCCTGTAACTCCAACTCCAGGGAATCTGACACTCTCTTCTGACCTTCCCCAGCACCTAAACACACACATGTACACATATATGTGTGCACACACACATACACATAAATGAAAATAAATAATTTTAAAGTGACTTCAGGAAGTCTTAATATAGCATGATAGCTCATGATAAACTCTCAATTCTGAGAATTAATGGGGTAATATGAATCTAGACCAAAGTATTTTAACAATGTTGATGCTAATGGAGGATGAGAACAACATTTCTCCTTATCTTTGAGGTAAAGAGGCAGGGAAGAGGATGGCGCCCTCAGACTGGGGACGGGGCTGTGGGAAACACGGTAAAAGACTTCTGGTCCACCTAATGTCAAGAGAAAATCCTGTTTTAGAATGGAGAAAGTTCAGAGGTAGTGTGGAGTGGCGTTGTCCTGTTACTGTTGTTTTGCTGTGCTGGGAACTGGCGTGAGGACAGGAAGGTATAAGCTTCCCTTCACCTTCGCAGAGCAGCGCCCGAGGTGACAATGAGTCTCGGGTTCTGCACCTATTATCAAGGCAGGAGGCAGATCTTTTCCTTCTGACTCTGAGAGGTGTTAGGGGCTCCTAAAATCTAAAACCCAGTCCGTGTTTGGATTTAAATATTCTTTCTTCATTGGGATTTCCTCTCAGTACCGTTGTCACGACTCTCACAAAACAGGTTGACTTGCGCTGTGTTGTGCGGGGCGGGAAGGCGTGGCTTCTGTTGGTCCTTGAGAGGAACCAGTCTGCAGAGAAACAGCACCAAGAGGGCCGGAAACAAGTGACTAGGTGAGGCAACAGAGGGACAGACTTCTGGGGATAAATACTCCTGGAGGCTCCAGGGATTCTCAGGGAGAGAGACAAGACAAAACACGGATTTCTCCTAAGCATAATGCTGCCATAGCCTACTGCTGTTTGTGTACCCCAGAGCAACAAGAGTCCGCCTACATGGAGGCAGACGCGGAAGGATATCCTGGTCCACCTACTTTTTTAGAAACACCAGTCATCCACGTCTTAACATAAGGCATCCATTTCAGTTCTTCAGGATCCACAAACACCATTCCGCATCGGCTGACGGTTGCAGGGGAGGCCACCCTGAGATCTTGTACCTGAAATTGAGAAAAGTTAAACAGAAAACAGGTAACAGGCTACTTTTGTATCCCTCCAATGTCAGTTCGTGAGTCACACTTTTGAAGTTTAAACTTACACAGAAAGGCTTTTTGTAGAGGACAGTGGAAGAACAATATGCATTTTGAAATGGAAAAGGAAAGTTAGGTGAGGTTTAAGGTGGATATTACCAAAGTATTATTATTTTTGAGAAAGGGTCTTACTGTGTAGTCTGGGACTCACAATATAGACCAGGCTGGCCTCAAATATACAGAGACCCACCTGCTTCTGCCTCCCAAGTGCTAGAATTAAAGGCATGTACCACCACGCCCAGCATATTACCAAATTCTTAAAAGTAGCAGTAGGTGTGGCTTTTCCCTTTTATTCTCCTTACTTCCCTCCCCCATTCTTGTGTTCCAAAACTCTATCCAAACACCTAGGGACAAGGAGGTATTCATTCAGTATTTGATGAATGGGTAGAACCCAGGTGGTATTTTACCTGAAATTTTGTAGCTGTATTGGATTCCCATCCTTCTTACAATCCCTCACAAAGTATTCAGTATTCCTACACAGTGAGATAATTTATTCACAGAATAGCTAACAAGAGTTTTACTTAGAATTTAAAATTATGTAAACCACATTCATATCTGCCTCCAAAAGACAGCAGGTGTTGGGAAAGCTGAAGTTAATTCTATTTCTTCATCCTCCCTCCTCCCTCCCTTCCTTCCCTTCCCCTCCCCTCCCTTCCTTTCTTCCTTCCTTCCTTCCTTCCTTCCTTCCTTCCTTCCTTCCTTCCTTCTTTCTGGCTATAGGGTCTCCCTGTAGCCACAGCTGGCCTGGAACTCACTATGTAGACCAGGCTGACCTCAATCTCACAGAAATTCACCTGCCTCTGCAGGTTGGGATGAAAGGTATGAGCCACCACACTTGGCTCTATTTCTATTTTATAAAGAGAAACAGTAACATTTGACAGGCTTTGCCAGGATTACAAAAAGATAACAAGTACTTCATAAGTAAATAAAATACTACCAGTAAATGATATATCAGTATAAGAATAGTTTCTTAACATACAGTATGCCAATTTAATGAATATTTCACTTCCCAGTAAGGCACACATTTACCTCAAAAAGCATGTGGATTTGAGGTGTGAGTTTAATCCTTTCACTGTTAGCCAGGCAAAGCATCTTGTTATCATCCAACACCGTATTCATGTTTTCAATCCAAAGAGCATCCACTGGCCCATCACTGATGATCCATTTATGGTCTTCTGAAGTATCATTTACAGCTGCTCGGACACTTAGTGCCATCAAACCATCCTTCCATTCCAGGGTTATGTTATTAACTTCACCATATAATTCACCCATTGTGATGGATTTTGGATTAAGAACAAAGGTTTTAACTGGTTGATAAAAGGGATTTCCTGTGTCAAGTTTTTCCAAATTCCTTAAAGCTTCTGCTAATATTCGGTAGACTGTGGTCTTGCCACCTCCTGTGGGTCCGACTAACATTACGCCATGCCTCACAAGCATTGTTTCATAGAACTGTATTACTTTTTTAACCATACATATCTCAGGCTGAAGGTTTTGTCCAACCATGACATCCACAATTGTGGACTGCAAAATGCCGTAATCATGTTCTGGGATTTGGACTCCAGGAAAAAGGTCAGATATGATTCCACTGGAAAAAACAAAGATGAAGTCAGTTAGGAGTCACTGGCCATTGACATTTTCCCACACTTGTTATAATTAATTGATTCTTTTCTATAGTACAAGTCTGTCCTATGGGCTGTGTCAGAATCTCTTTCTTGTGAACTCTTATGTGTATTGTATGTGATTTCATTTCCTATACAGTAGACCAGGATTTGTTTGAGGATGAGCAATTTTACTTGTTTCTAGTAAACAAGTATAATAAAAGTACCAAACATAGAGGTGATAAGTTTATCAGTGGATTTAAAAACATTTCTGGAAGCATTATATAGATTTAAAGTCATATGTGGATATGAGAAAATAACTGGAAATTAAAACAGAAACTTACTAGTAGCTAAAAGAGAGAAAGAAAAGAGTTGTGAAACTTCTATGAGAAACAGTTCGTATGAGATGTTTCTATGGAAAGAAAGAAGCTAAGTCACCACTACATAATAGAAATACAAATACACTTGAGGTACAGTGAAGACCTTATACACACAACACACACAATATGAGAGTTGAATTGAAAGAAACAAACAAAAAAACCACCAAAAACTACTGATAACTGCATAGATATATGTATGGAAAATAAAAGTAAAAATAACATTCACGACAATAAAACATGACTCAGCAGCAGATAATATTTATAGAGTTACGATTAAGTCTGGAAACCTTGGCTGCTTAGCCAAGCAGTATCATAGTGTAAGTGTGTAGAGGGGATGAAAAATAACACTGCATATTCTCATTCCTCTGTTACTTAATATCTAAAACTGACAAACCAAGAAATGGTCTAAGCATGGAACTTATAAAAAGTATGGGTGTGTGTGGGGGGGACCTGAGAGATGGTTCAATGGTTAAGAGCACTGGCTGCCCTTGTAGAGAACCTGGATTCAGTTCCCAGCACCCACAGGAGGCTAACAACCCATCTGTAACTCCAGTTCTGAAGAATCTGACACCCTCTTCTGGCCTCCATGGGCATTGCATAACACCAGTGTATTTACATACACAGAGACAAAAATGCTCATACACATAAAAACAATTAAAAAAAATAAATAAAAAGAAAGTACAAACGAAACAGTAAAACAAATAAAAGAGTTGAGAGCTCCCACATCCCCTTCTCCTTCTAGCCTTGGGCACAGGCCCATTTCTTCTCTTGGTACCCCAGACCTCTGGACTACCCTCTTGGCCCAGATCTCCCCACGGCTTCCTGATCCTTTGTACCCAGACCAACCCAATTCTTCAGTCTACTTCCCTAGAGACCTCACAGCCTGCCCGGACTCCCAACTTGCATTTGCACATCTGAGACCAGGCTTCCACCCTGACTCTCCCCACCTCCAACTGGCCTGGGATTCCTGAGACCAGCCTCCTCCCTTGACTGTCTGAGAGAGCCTGAATCCTACCTCTACCTAGCAAGCCACCCAAATTGTACTGTGCCTGCTTCTAGAGGGACCCAGACCTTAGGAGGAAGCCTGAGAGCATCTGATCCTCGTCTGATTTGGGCCTCTGTGGGAACTTCTGAACAGCTGGACTAAAGCTGTTTCAGGCCCCTCCAATATGAAATCAAAAGAGAGAACCTGAAGCCTAGACCAACAAGCTTTTAATATCCAATAAGAAAATAAGAAAGGCACATAAAATATACAAACAGAAAAAAAGGAAGGCTTGAGTTTCACACAAGAATTAGAAACTGATTTTCTTTCATCTACCCCTACCCTGTCCCCTGCTGGCCTCTCTCACAGGTAGGCTACAATTCCTTCACCTCAGGTCCCAGGACTAGCATCCCAAACCAGATTAAATAAACACCATACCATAGATTCCTAACCCAGGTGGTCCCTTTACCGCCATCTTCACAGCCTTTGGATCAGGTAGACAGACCTGCTCAGCCAGGACTCTGGTAAGTCAGATCTAGATCACTGCCTTCCTACCCCATTTCTCTCATCCATCCCCACCCCATCCCTTATCAGCCCCTCTCACAGGTGGGCCCCAATTCCTTCACCTCAGGTGCTGGGACCAGCTTCTCAAACCTGATTAATCACCCTACCATAGATCCCTAAGTCCCGCCTGGGCAGTCCCCTCACTGCCAACTTCCCAGGGTCCCAATCAGGTAGACAGACCTGACCAGTCTACTACACAGCAAGAACTTGAAATACCCACCAATTTGTCTTCCATACCTAAACAAAAAGTAAGTAAGCTACGTAAACAATATTAACAGAACCAAAATTAAATTAAACAAAAACAGTAGACGGTCCTATTGAACACATAACCAACAAAGAACATCTATATGCCCAAAGGGCAATGCAAAACACAAACAATGTGAAAACCCAGGAAAATATGTCCCCAACAAAACCCACGAGTCCCATAGACATGCACAGCATTAAGAACCACCCTGTAGAACCCCAGGGCACAGAATTGAAAAGAACAATCATAAACATGATCAAAGAACTTCAAGAAAACACAGACAAACAACTCAAAGAACTCAAAGAGGAAAGACATAAACTTTTGATGGAAGCCCAAGAATATACAAATATGTGGCTTAATGATATATAAAATGAAAACAATTCATAACTTGAAAAGCTAATTCACTAACAAGATAGAAATAGTGACAAAAACCCAAGTGGAAATGAACATGGGACTGAAAAACTCAATAAACCAATTAGAAACAATGGGAGACAGTCTCACAAGCAGAGTGAATGAAATGGAAAACAGAATATCAAGACTGCAGGATAAAGTTGAAGATCTGGACTCCTCATACAAAGACTATGTAAAATTCAAAAATAAACACAGGAGTGGAATACTCAGGAAATGTGGGAAAGCATGAAATGACCAAATCTACATATTATAGGCATACAGGAAGGAGAAGAAACTCAAACCAATGGCATTGAACAGATCTTCAATAAGATTATAAAAAAATTTCCTAAATTAAGGAAAAATATACCCATAGAGATTCAAGAAGCACAGAGAACACCATTAACACATGGTCAGAACAGAAAGTCCTCAAGACATATCAGAGTAAAAACATTAAATGGACAGAACAAAGAGAGGGTACTGAAAGCTGCTAGAGGAAAAAGGAAAAAACCAAAACAAAACAAGTTATATATAAAGGAAAACCCATCAGAATTACAGTTGACTTGTCAATGCAAGCTATGAAAGCCAGAAGAGCCTGGAACAAAGTATTCCCAGTTCTAAACAACCATGGATACTAACCCCAAATCCTTTATCCAGCAAAACTATCTATCATGGTTGAAGGAGAACAGAAAATTTTCCATGACACAAATAGGCTGAAAGAATTCATGTCTTCCACACCAGCATGACAGAGCATACTTGAAGCAATACAAGGGCTGGAGAAAGGAATGAGTGCACCCAAGAGATGCAGAAAGAACACAAAGAAAGCTATAACAACAGAAGCACAAAATAGGGCCACAAACACTAAGAAATTAAAGTGACAATATACAATACACATATTTCAATAATAACACTAAATATCAATGGCCTCAACTCCCCTGTCAAAAAACACAGGCTGGCACAATGGATCAAGAAAGAAAACTCATCTTTCTGTTGTCTTCAAGAAACTCATCTCACCTTCAAGGATAGACACTATCTTAGGGTGAAAGGATGGAAAAAAATATTCCAAGCAAATGCCCTAAGAAGCAAGCAAGTTTCACATTTTTAATTTCTGACAAAATAGACTTCAAATTAAAACTCATCAGAAGAGATAAGGAGGATTACTTCATTCTAATCAAAGACTTTGGAAAGGCAAGAACAAACCAACCTCAAACCTACTAGAGGAGAAGAAACAACAAAACTCAGAGCACAAATTAATGAAATAGAAACAAAGAAAATAATGCAAAAAAATAATCAATGAATCCAAGAGCTGGTTCTTTGAAAGGTTAAACAGGATAGATAGACCCTTAGCCCAGTTACCCAAAAGAAATAAAGAGCAAATCCAAATCAACAAAATCAGAGATGAAAGGGGAAACATCACAACAGACACCAAAAAAAAAAAAAAAAATCCAAAACATTTTTAGGGAATACTTAAAAAATCTATACTGCATTAAATTTGAAAACCTAAAAGTAATGGATGAATTTGTAAAATCATGGCCACCATGAAAGTTAAACCAAGAGAAGATCAACATCCTAAAAAAACCCATAAAAAATAAGGAAATTGAAACAGTAATATAAAACCTTTCAACTGAAAAAAAGCCCAGATCCAGATGGAATCACAGCAGAATTATACCAGACATTCAAAGAAAATCTACAACCAATACTGCTTAAATTATTCAAAAATATAGAAACAGAGAGCTAGTTTGAATTCAGCAGTTAAGAACACTGGCTGTTCTAGCAGAAGAACCGGGTTCGAATCCCAGCACCCACATGGCAGCTAACAACTGTCCATAACTCTAGTTCCAGGGGATCCTGCAGCCTCTTCTGTCCTCTGTGGGCATTGCATGACATGGGTGCAGTTACCTACATGGAGGCAATATATGCATACACATAAAATAAAAAATAATAAATAAAATATTAAAAAAGAAACAGAGGAAGGACTCCCAAACTCCTTCTATGAAGCCAGTATGACTCTAATATCAAAACCAGGAAAAGAGACAACAAAAAAGAAAGCTATAGACCCATATCCTTAATGAACATAGATGCAAACTGCATAGAGACACACATCAAAAAGATCATCCACCATGATCAAGTCAGCTTTATTCCAGAGATACAGGGATGGTTCAACATATGGAAGTCAATAAATATAATAAAACATATAAATGGATTTAAAGACAAAAACCACATTGTCATCTCAATAGATGCAGAAAAGGCATTTGACAAAATCCAACATGCATTCATGTTAAAGGTCCTAGAAGGAGTTGGTCTGGAGGGAACATACCTCAACATAATTAAAGCTATATACAACAAACCCACAGCCAGCATCATTCTAAATGGAGAAAAATGGAAGCATTCCCATTAAAATCACGAACCAGACAGGGTTGCCCACTCTCTCCACTCCTTGTCAATACGGTGCTTGAAAAAGAGCAATAAGACAAGAGAAGGAAATTAAAGGAGTGATAGTTGGAAAAGAAGAGATCAAATTATCCCTACTTGCAGATGATATGATATTATACATAAGAGATCCCAAAAATTCCACTAGAAAACTGTTAGAATTGATCAATACTTTTGGTAAAGTGGCAGGATAAAGAATCAACTTACAAGAATCAGTAGTCTTTCTATATATCAGTAACAAGCAATCAGAAAAAGCACTTGAGGAAACACTCCCATTCTCAGTAGCTTAAAAAAATTTTAAGGAATAAACCTAACCAAAGACATTAAAGACCTCTACAATGAAAAATTCAAAACTCTCAAGAAAGAAATAGAGCAAGACAATAGGAGACGGAAAGACTTATCATGCTTATGGATTGGTAGAATCAATCCCTATCAAAATACCCATGACATTGTTCACAGAGCTTGACAAAATCATCCTAAAATTCATATGGAATCACAAATGATCCTGGATAGCCAAACTATCCACCGGCTGCCATCAGAAGGTAACGCCCACATTTAGGGTGTGTCTTCCGGCTTTAGATGATCCAATCAAGAAGTTCTCTTTCATTTCAGTTAATCTCAGATCAAATCAAGTTGACACCCAGGATTAGCCATCACAAGACCCAAACATGAATTCATATAATTTCAGTCAACTGATATTCAACAAAGGTGCTAAGAGCACGTACTGGAGGAAAGATAGCATCTTCAACAAATGGTGCTGGCAAAACTGGATCTCCACAGGCAGAAAAATGAAACTTGACCCTTGTCTTTCACCCTGAACAAAAGTCAACTCCAAATAGAAGACCTCAATATAAAACCTGAAACTTGGAAACTGCTAGAAGAAAACATAGGCAGCACCCTCCAAGATACGGGCATCAGAAAGGACTTTCTAAATCAGGCACCAGCTGCTCAGGAACTAAGGTCAAAAATCAGTAAGTGGGACCTCATTAAACTACAAAGTTTCTGTATAGCAAAAGAAACAACCAAGGAAGGGAAGAGGAAACCCACTGAGTGGGAGAAAATTTTCACCAGCTACACATCTGACAGAGGATTAATATCCAAAATACACAAAGAACTCAAAAAAGAAAGAAATAAGAAAATAAATGACCTAATAAAAAGATGAGCAATAGACCTAAACAGAGTTCTCAAACGAAGAAATAAAAATGCTAAGAAGCACCTTAAAAAGCACTCAACATCTTTAATTACAGAAATGCAGATAAACACCACATTAAGATTCCATCTCACCCCAGTCAAATTGGCAAAGATCAAGAGAATGAATGACCCCAAATGTTGGAGAGGATGTGGAGAAAGAGGAACACTCATTCACTGCTGGTGGGAATGCAAACTTGTGCAACCACTATGGAAAACAGTGTGGAGAACCCTCAAAAAAAACTAAAAAGGAACCTACCATATGACCCAGTGATGCCTCTCCTTGACATACACCCAAAGGACTCATCGTGCTGTAGAGATACCTGCACATCCATGTTTGTTGCTGTTCTCTTCCCAATAACTAAGAAATGGAAACAAGCTAAATGTCCCTCAACCAATGAATGGTTAATGAAAATGTGGTACATCTACTCGATGGAGTTCTACTCAGCAGTAAGAAAAGATGAAATTATGAAATTTGCAGGTAAATGGATGGCGCTAGAGAGTGTTATACTAAGTGAAGTAACACAAACGCAGAAAAGCAAGGGACGTATGCTTTCCCTCATTTGCAGATTGTAGCACCAGTTCCTTATATGTGAGTATAGAAATTCTGATGTAACACCAGGAGCCAGGTAAAGGGAAAAGATACATGGAGGAGGTAAAGGTAAAGAAACAACCTGAAAAGGGGATAGTAGGGAACAGATGGTACCTGAGGGAGGTGGAAAAAGTGGGATTAATCAGCAGGGAGGAGAGGGGGGAAGGACATGCAAGGGACCGTGGTGTGGGGGAGGGAGGGAAGTCAGGAGAAGAAAGATGGTGGGAGTCAGGAGGTATTGGGGGGAGGATGGGGGTAATGGGGGCACTGTGACTAGGGAGAGAGGGAGGAGGGAAGCTGGATTGGAGAAAAAAGAGTGGAGATGAGTGAGTCTCAGGGGCGCTAGGAAGCCTAGAGGGAAATGTGATGCCCTAGAAGCCCTATGAGAAATGCACATAGAGTGTCTGAACATTAATACATATGTATACCTGGGAGCTGCTCGGCAGGGAACGCAGTGCCAGATAGAAGAGACCTCCTAGAGTGATAAGCATGCCATACAGCACTCACCAAAGAAGCTTCTTTTTGAAACAGATGGAGGCTGCTGCAGAGTTGCACATCTGGTCAGGCACAGAGAACATACACCTGGGAGATGCCCAGTACTAGGTGACACATCTGCAGTCAAATCTCTACAATTCAGGCTCATGGAACATAGCAGAATAAGGGGCAGAGAGAGGCCTAATGCATCCCTCAATTCTCACCAGTGAGGCTTCCATGTTCATCAGAGTGCAATTCACACAGAGGGCCACAACTGGCCAAGTTTTGGAGACTAAGAGAATGTGGAGTGTAGAATGGTACTCCTATATGGAACTTCCCTCACCCATGGCTCAGGGACCATTGCAGAAGAGGAAGTGGAAAGATTGTAAGAGCCAGAGCTGGTTAATGAACATAGGGAGGTGGAGGCTTCCAGGCCACTGGAGGCTTGCTCGTGTGAGCCTGTGGCAGTGGTGGCGTCAAACATGGGACCCCTATCAGCTCAATTAAACAAGGGCCCAAGGGGGAGGTGAGAAATAGGTGGCAGGCTAGCACTAGAGTGAGAACTATTTGAGACTGATTGCTTCTGGGTGAGGGAGAGTATGACTTACATACTGGATGGGCTGATTAGTTGCCAGTGGATGCATTTATACTGAAGGACATTTGGGTACAAACACTTGAATGAATAAGACTCAGCATGTATGGCAGAGTGCATACATAGGGTTCAGTGGGGGGATGGGGGAGACATGGATGGGGAAGGGGGGTCTGGATTTGAATGGGAAATATATGAAATTTAAAAAGTTCAATAAAAAATGTAAAAAAATAAATAAGTTGAAAATAGAACGCCTTTGGGAAGTGGGATTTGGTGAAAGGCAAGGAAGTGGTGTTTTCCATAAGATTATAAACTATTTTATTTTTAAAAGCAAGCACACATATACTTTGGTAAAACATGAAATTAATTAAAGAGGAAGAAAATATGAAAGCAGTCACATTCTTGTTAAATTCCAAACCTGGCTTTTTTTTTCAGGCCATAAATTTCTCTTAGATCAGGAATTTGTAATCAAATGCTAATTTTTATAATGACACAATTTGGTGATCCTTATTTCGGAGAAAAAAGTAGTGAGAATAACTCAGCAAATCAAGTGTATTTAGTCTAAATTGGTGCTTTTTATCATTTTCTTCTCCCTTTCTTTCAGTTTTTCTTTTTTTGAGATAAAGTCTCATGTAGCCCAGGCTGGCTTTGAAGTGATCTTCCTGACTCCACCTTCCAAGTGGTGGGATCACAGGTGTGTGCCTTAACACCTGGCTGCATTTCTTTTTAAAAATATTTTTAAATTTATTTTTATTTTATGGTATGCGTGTTTTGTGTGCATGGATCTAAGTGCATCCATGTTGTGTAATGCCTGAGGAGGCCAGAGGGAGTTGGAGCCCCTGGAATTGGAGTTACAGATGGTTGTTAGCTGCCATAAGGCTTCTGGGAACTGAACCTGGGTTCTCTGCAAGGGCAACCACTGCTCTTAACCACTGCTGGATGTGTTTCTTAAACTGATGTAGATAGCTCCAGGAGTGAGGAGAAATTCATTGAATTGTTAGAGAGCAAAAAGAACAACTGAAGAACATCCTCTCCATCTGTGTGGAGGCGATGCTTGTCCTGTGACTTCTAGAAGCTTACCTGAACAGAATAGCATCATCTGTGAGGAATTTTGGCAAGTTGGAGTCTCTCAAAGCTCGTATCAGTACCACATCTTCACCGAGGTCTGGGTTCTCTCTTTTCAGAGATCTAGATTCAAGGGAACAATTCACATGACTTTACACGAACATAGGATAGAATGGGCTTTTCTAGAACAGGTCAGGGATTCTGCTTGCAGCAAGTTGTGGAGCATCTCCTTCACCCCCACTGAGATTCCTGCTGGAAGGAGAGACTTGTTTTCCTTTATGTGCTCACTGTCACCTCTGTCAAAGCACAGGGACAAGTTCTGCATTGGCTACATAGCTTAGAGGAGAGTGACAGGGACATCTTCTCAAACATTGCCCCCATCAATCCAGACCTTTTCTAATTAGAGTTTAGAGTTCCCTGAATGTGTCATGATGCCTCTCATCCCTGTCACTTTCTGTCCTCTCTACCCACAATACCTGGCATTCTCTTTTGTTTTTAAAGATTTGTTTTTATTCATGTTTATGTGTGCATCTCTGTGTTCTATGGATGCAATACCTGTGGAGCCTAGAAGAGGGTATCATGTCCCCTGGAGCTGGATGTACAGGTGATTGTGAGGTGTTCAGTGTGGGTGCTGGGAACTGGACTCAACTCCTCTGGAAGTGCTAATAACCACTGAGCCTTGTCTCCAGTCCCTGGCCTGTTCTTATCACCCTTCAAAACCTAGCCCAGTTACCCTGTTCTCTAGAAAACTAACATACAACAAACCTCTGGCACAGCCCCATTGTTCTCCTTACCCCACTGTGTGACTATATGACTGCACACTTGCTGTTCTTACCCATGGAGCTGCAGTTCTGTTCTTTGAATGCAAATAGAGCTAAACTTAGTTTACTAGTGCTTACACACAGTGCTGTAAGGAGGAGAAATATTGATTCTGGTAGGCTAAGACCGAGAACAGAGTGGAGCAATGGTGGAGAGACTTGTGCTAAGCTTCAGGAGTCAGGCCCAGGAGGTACCGAACAGGGCTCAATGAGTCCTGTTCTGAGAGAAAGAGCTAGAAAGAGAACAGATTCCCTCACAGCCTCTGGATAAGTTGGAAATTCAGGATATTGTAGTTTCTAGGTGTTGTAAAGGGAAGAGTTGCAGCCTAAAATGAGACAAGATTCTTGCTTTGCTAGTAACTGGGGAACCGCTGAATCTTGGACCTGAACTGTTACTGTAAAAACAAAGAGTCTGACATAAGCCTGGACTGAGAGTGGGACGAAGATGTTTCCTTAACGATTCAGGTTGTTTAGGCAACACAGGGTTCTCCTTCTTGCATGTGTATATCAGACTGTGAGTCTTTAAAGACTAGTCAGCCTGACTGACAGTAACAAAGACTTAAAAGACTCAATTTTATGTATGTTTGTGTGTGCATATGAGTGCAGTGCCCACAGAGGCCAGAAGAGGGTGTTGGATCCCATGGAGTCAGAGGGTTTTAAAAAAGATTTAATTTCTATTTTAATTATATGTTTATGTGCGTGTGTCTGTGTGGACTATGTGCACATGAGTGCAGTGCTCATGGAGGCCAGAAGAGGTTGTTGGATCCCATGGAGTTGGAGTTACAGACAGTTGTGAGCCACTGGACATGGGTATTGGGAACCGAACTCAGGTCTTCTGGAAGACCAGCAAGTGCTTTTAATGACTGAGCCATCTCTCCAGCCACAGCAAAGATTTTGTACACTGAAATCCAAAGCCTATGAGGAGTTCAGGGGGGAATTCAAGTTAGTCAGTTGGACTCACAGAGAAGATCCAGCATGGGCCACATAAGCATTAAAGGAGGAATTAGAGCTTCTTTGAGGCCATTTAATGAATTTGATTGCAAAGTTTGGAGTTCCACTCTCTTCCATCTTGGTTTCTGTCTGTATGTATGTAATTTGTGTGTGTGTGTGTGTGTGTGTGTGTGTGTGTGCATGTGTATATGTGTGCATGTATGTATGGAGGCCAGAAGACAACTTCAAGGTGATGTTACACAGGAGCTGCCTACCTTGTTCTATGAAGTGAGGTCTCTACTGGCCTGGAGCTCACCAACTTGGCTAGCCAATTTGGAAGCCCCGAGGAGCCTTCTGTCTCTGCTTCTCCAGGATTCTAAGCACGTGATACCATGGCTAGCTTTCTTTCCCCCCCCCCCTTTTTTTTTTAAAACTTTTACAAGAACTTTACTGAGAATTTCATATAAGATGTTTTGATCAAATCCATGCCCACTCCCTCCCCTCCAACATTCCCCCCTCTGAAGAGGTAATCCTAAAACCTTTTAAGGATTAGATACAAGCTCCCAAATACTTTTGACATTTTGACATTTTTGGCCTTTGGAACAGAGTGTGTTGCTAACAGGCCCAAGGACATTTTGGCTTTTAGCCCGGAAACTGGCCATGTGTCTTTGGGGTCTTTTTACCCTGACCCTAGCATGGCTAGCTTTCTGACGTGGGTTCTGGGCAAGTACTTTCCTAACTGAGCTTCTTCTCCTTTGGTTTCTTACCCAGCCATGACCAGTACGGATTTGACAGCTCTCATGCCAAAGTCATAGTGATCCTGCTGAGAGAGCTGCTCACTGCAGAGTTTGTACATCTGTGTCATCTTTCTTGCTAATATTTTACTGGATTCAAATCCTTCAGAATACAGAATTACCTAGGAGAGAAAGAATAGAACACAATGTCTCCTCTCTGGTTTTGCTGACAACATATTGGCATGATACAAAGGTACCTGAAATCCAGCCTAGGCAGCACACCTTTCCACGCTGCTGAGAAATACCATGCAGCCCATGGTATTTCTGTCTTGAGCTCACAGTAGTCCTCCTGCCTCAATCACCCAAGTGCTGGGATTGTAGGCATGAGTGACTCTGTCATTTCTTGAGGCTAATGAGATTTATGTGCAAACAAAAGTGAGGATAATGTAGTCTTTTTAGAACCAACCTTGACATTTTAACTCCTAGAGGTAGACTGATTAAGTCACTGTTAATTAGTTAATGAAATACGTTGATTCATTGCACTTTAGGAGCTTACTAGGTTCTGAATACCATTCTGGGCATTATGGGTACCAGCAGTGAGACTGGAGACCAGCCAAGCCAATCAAGCACACAGAGTAAAACAGTCTCTGTGACAGTCGCATTTATGTTCAGGGGAATAATAATAAGCAGCCATTACCAGTGTGCATTCATAAAGTGCTATGTCTAGTTTTAATTGTCAACTGGACACAATCTAGAGGGATTGTCTAGATCAGGCTGGCCTGTGGACATGTCTGTGGGAAACTGTCTTGATTATGTTGAGACAGGAAGACCTGCCCGCTGTGGGCAGCACCATTTCCTGGGTTTGGGGCCTGATCTATGTAAGTGTAGATCTATTTTAGTGCAAGCATGCATGTACTAATTTCTTTCTGCTCTTGGCTGTGTAAGTGATGTGACTCGATGCTTTTAGCTCTTGCTGCCTTGTGTTCCCAGCTATGATGGATTGTAACCTGGAAGTGTGAGCCATAGTAAAACTTTTCTCTCCTCAGTTGCTTTTTGTCAGGGTATTTTATCATGGTGACAGAAGTAAAACTAGAACATAAAAGGAGTTTCTATACTGAAAGGATTGAATGTTAAATAAAAAAAGCCATGCTTAACATTTTGCTTTTTTACATTCTGAAGCTCACCTCTGCAATCAGTGCATAATTGGGAACCATCATCGCAAACGGTCTGAATAGGGCTTTTAAATTGTCTGGCAACTCGGTCCTGCCTGCATAGCCAGGATTCATGGTGATAAAGGCTGCACAGGTCATAACGAGCTTGATTTCTCGGCCCTCAAACATGAATCTAGAGAGCTGTTTAAAAGGAGGCATAAATCAGCACTTCTCTAGACATTTGCCAATTCTTTCACATAATCATTGCTTGGCTATGAGACTCACTTAAGGGGTGGCCAAGCAGAGTCCGTCGAATCCTGTTGAGGGAGAGCAGGGAGCATTTCTTTCCTTATCCTCCCCCGTCTACTTCCAATCTCTTCTGGTCTCAGGGCTTCCTGCTCCCTCCCTGGCCAGCCCTTCTCTGCTCTGCCGGAGTTCTGTTTCCCTTCCTGACCCAGTCCTGAAATCTTTCAGTCTTGATAGCATTTGCTAAGATTTTTCAGTTCAACTTAGACTTAACAGCCACTGAACATTTTCTCCCTTCACTTTCTGGTGTTCCCCTCAAAATTCCAACCTGGCTTTATTCTTTGGGTGGATGTGGCCTCTCTGTCACCATCCTTAGAACAGCCCCTTCACTTTCATTCAACAGTAGATGCTTATTGAGGTGAGGCCCTGTGCGAGCCAATGAGGCACAGTGTTGAAGGATGCTCACAGTTGAGCCCTGCTGTGTGAGTCAGATCTGGAAACTGACCATTGCATGGAGTGGATGCTACAGTGGAGTGAGTGAGTGAGTGAGTGTGTGTGTGTGTGTGTGTGTGTGTGTGTGTGTGTGTGTGAGTGTGTGTGTGTAATATAGCAGGCTGTTGGAGACATGAAGCTCGAAGAGGGGCACTACAGGTAGATAAACCAGGGGCAGCTTTTCAAGCAGAAGGGAGATGGGTAAGCAAGAGCACTGCATGTCCAGGGAATGAGCAGAAATCTACTTTGCTAAAAGGGTAATAAAGTTCAGGGAAAGTATAGCTAGGAGAAGTGCTGTGGTTTACATCGCCCCCAACAGGCTCAAACGTTTGAACACTAGGTCCCAAACTGGTCGTGCTGTTCTGAAAGTTGTGAAACTTTCACCAGTAGAGCCTTGTTTGGAGGAAGTAGACCATTAGAAGTGGGCCTTGAGGTTTTGAAGTCTGACCCACCTCCTGTCTCCTCTCTGTTTCCTGTCACCGGAGACCTCACCCTCCTACCACTATGCCTTCATCAAGCCTTTGCCTCCAGACCTTTCCACCTTGAGAATATCTCACTCCTGTCAGCCAAAATAAACCCTCTTAAGTTTCTTCTTGTCAGGTATTTGGCCACAGCAATGACAAAAGTGACTAACACACTGGGACCTGAGCATCAAGTCTTGCACAAAGGCTGAAGAATTTCCCTATTAATTGCTCTTGCCTTTACTTCTCCTTCACATCTCCTATTCACCAGTCAAGGAATTTATTTTCTCCCTACAGATAAGGGTTACACAATTTGGGAGTCTTTTAGATAGACCCACTGAAGGGGTACCCCAATTGCCTCACCCTGCATTCCTGTTCACCATGGAAGAAACCAGAGCCATCTGCGTCCCAATTCCCTACCCACAATTTGGGTAACCTCTTCAGAAGATGACATGATAATAATAGGAGGTAGGAGTTGGCTAGGCAGTTAGGGTAAAAAGACCCCAAAGAGAAGTAGCCAGTTTCTTGGCTACAACTCACAATGTCCTTGGGCCTCTTAGCAACATACTCTGTTCCAAAGACCAAAAATATCGAAAGCATTTGGGAGCTTTTATCTAATCCTGAAAAGATTTTAGGGTTACTTCTTCAGAGGGGGTAATGTTAGAGTAGCCAAAAGCCCCATAAAAAAAATAAAAGGGGGCTGGAGAGATGGCTCAGCAGTTAAGAACACTGGTTGTTCTTCCAAGAGACCCAGGTTCAAATCCCAGAACCCACATGGAAGTATTTGGGAACTTGTATCTAATCCTTAAAAGATTTTTAGGGATACCTCTTCAGAGGGGGAATGTTAGAGTAACCAAAAACCCCATAAGAATAAATATATCCATCAAAGAAGAAGAAAGAGTACATGAAGAGTTATCAGAAAAAAGTGATGGGGAGATATAGGAGGAATTGGAGGGGCGGGAGGGGTCATGGATTTGATCAAAACATCTTATATGCATGTATGAAATTCTCAATAATTTATTTAAAAAATTTCCTTATTGTCTCATGGTTCAAAGGAAGCAGAGGGGATGGGGCAGAGGTGACACTGGACAGTCACTTGGGGAACCATGAGAGCTCGAATGTGAGAAGCGTATGTGGGGACTAGGGGCTCCCAGCAGATACAATTCACTCCATTTGGAGACAGTTTAGATTCTACATTGATGGTAAAGAGACAAAGCAGAGGTGAAATCAAGGTTCCTAGTCTGGCACCGAATGAAGATGCTAGGGGAAGACCAGGATAGAGCCGGGAGGAGGAAAAAGTGGCAGGCGCATCCCAAGGCCGGTTTGGCTGCTAGAGGGACTGATCACTCTGGTCACGGCTCTGTTTTGTTTCCGTTTCTTCATCCATTTTAAGGGATGTAGCCCACTCCAGCCGTATCATATGAGCACTGGCAAGCTGAGAACGAGGCTGGCTCATCTCAGAGACTTCCAGTTTCATTGTGTCTTGCAGCCGCCCTCCAGCTGGCAATTCGTCAGCCGCCTCTGCCCTTTGGTCTCTGCCCCTTCACTTCCCGTGTTTTCTCTCTGTGGGTTGCTCAGCAAGATGTTAATGATTTGCAAGTTACATCTGGAAGTCCTTGCTTTTAATCCACACCTCCGCAGAGCGTGGGAGGCAGGACAGAGTAGACTTTAGGGTCACCGGGATTCATGAGTATCTCAGTTCTGTGCTGTCTATGGGAATATTTAACTTCTTTGAATCCTTTTCACCTATAACCATCTTCACACAGGGTTGATGGAAATACTAAAGTAGGTAGCGCAGTGACTTGCACCTCTCTGTAGCTCATTAACATCTAATATCTGCTTTGCTTTTATTTGATCTATAATTTGCTACTTTGCAAAGGTGATCATACAAATCTGTAACTCTTTATCAGGGTACCTTGCCATGGTAATTGTCGTCTCCCCTGAGCCAGGGTGAGCCCAGAGGCCCCCAGTGGCACCAATATGAACCTTGTTGATAGAACCTGAGGAGGACTAGAGCTCTTCTGGAAGGGGCTGAGGGAGGAGTGAAGGACTTGGGGACTGAGTGGCTGGGAGCAGTTCTGGTTTGTATAGACTGAACAGCAGTGATCTCAGAAGATCAACAAAGAGTGGTCAGGGGCTTGGTCCCATCCTTACTGCCGTCCAATACAAAGCCTTTCAGTACAAAATCCCTTCTCCAGGAACTTGCTCATCTGGGGCTAAGACAAATGTTAAATATCAGGATCACTCAGCATGTTCATTTGACCCCTACAGTCCTTGTATTTTACAGGAGAGGTAAGGCCTCCTTGGGTCCCCAGGAACTTAGTCCCTATTTTCAGATCATCTTGAACTTAGAGGACATGAGAAACATGATGAGGTCCAGAAAAGGCAGCATTAAAGAAACAGAAGTAAGTATCAAAGGTTAGGAAAAGAAAGGTGAAGAGGAAAATAGGAGGTGGCGGGCAGAGGATAGTGTGTGTGTGTGTGTGTGTGTGTGTGTGTGTGTGTGTGTGGTGTGTCTGCATGTATGTGTGCATGTGCATAATGTATGTGAATATGGTGGGTGTCTGCATGTATGTGTGCACATGCATAATGTATGTGAATATGGTGAGTGTGTGTCTGCATGTATGTGTGCATGTGCATAAGTGAATATGGTGAGTGTGTGTCTGCATGTATGTGTGCACGTGCATAATGTATGTGAATATGGTGAGTGTGTGTGTGTGTGTTGGGGATGCAGAAAAGAATTTCCAGAGGCCAGGGATGGAGTCTTATTGTTTGTATGCCTAGGACCCAGCATTTGTTGTTTTGTGTTGCTTGGATGAGGAATTAATTCACCCAGGTCAGTCCAGTTACCGTGGCATTCAGCAGTTACATGGAGAGCATGTCCTTTCTCACAGGTGGCCTGCTAATGATCCACTTGAGCTACTGTTGGCAGACAGTCCCCAGACACCTCACCTTTGAGGCCTTGGCATTCCTAATGGTGATGAGTTGCTGAGCAATGACTGACAAGACTTCGATGTCAATTCGATTGAATTCATCAAAACAGCACCAGGCCCCTGACTGTGCCAAGCCACTGAAGAAGCGCCCCATCATCTGAAATGCAAGCAAAGCTGTTAAACTTGGGGGTCACACTGTCCGACTCGCCCCAAGGTTGTAATTTGGAGCTGGGGTATTAAAGAGAAAGAGGGGAAGTGGTTAAGAGCACATACTACTCTTGCAGAGAACCTGAGATGGGTCCCAGACACCCCTGTTGGGTGGCCTATAACGGCTTGTAACTCCAGCTCCAGGGAAACTGACTCTCTCTTCTGGCCTCCTTGGGCCCTGCACTGCTATATACAAACCCCCACACAGACACACACACACACATATATGATTAAAATAAATGTAAAATCTTAGGAAAACAAAAAGTTGATTTGTCTATGTCCATAACCATCCTGGGCATGAAATCTTATGATTTCTGAAGCTAAGCAGGGTTGGGCCTGGTTAGCATTTAGATGGGAGAAAGGAGGTGGTATCTGCAAAAAAAGCAAGTGCTTTTTTTGCTGCGGGTGTTATAATTAATGTGCTGTTTCCTAACAGACGTAAGCACTCATCCACAAAAGAAAACATCTTTCTGTTTCTGATTAAGTGAGTTGAATCTGAATTTTAAATGAGGCTTTCAAAAATATTTTATTTATTATTTTTATTTTATGTGTATGAGTGTATTGCCTGCATGTATGTGAGTGTACCCGTGTCGTGCAGTGCTGCGGAGATCAGAAGAGGGCTTTGGATTCCCCTGGAACTAGAGTTAAGAACAGTTCATAGTCACCATGTGGGTGCTGGGAATCGAACCTTGGTCCTCTACAAGAGCAATTAGTGTTCTTAAACACTGAGCCATCTTGCTAGCCCTGGATCTGAATTTTAAATAAAATGATTATATATTTTTCCTCCTTTATTCATAACCTCCACAGATCTCTGGCAAATATGTGAAAGGTTCTCAAAGAATCTAATACATGGAAGAAACAAACTTAAGGACTTTGGAGAAACCTTGGAGAATTTTACCAATGGGGTCTTTCATTGTCTGTGGAAGGTGCTTACTGTGGTCAGGAGCACATGAGGACTCCTGAGCAGAAGGCGCTGCTGCACTGTTAGGTAGCGGTTCTCCAGCAGAATCCTAATGGTGAATGGAAGTGGCTGTGGACAATGTCTTTGGAGACCAGAGTTTGGGTTAAGCATTTGCACAAATATTCCATTATGCTCTGGATATCTAAAAACATAAATGATGCTTTTTCTGTCTTAAGGTCAATGTCAAGTAAGCATACACTGTTACTGCCCCCCTCAATTCCAGCAACATGAATAGATCTCTGTGTGTGCCTCTCTTTACTTTTGTGCCTATAATTGTACCCATTTCTGCCTGATAAAAACGCAATGAAAGGGGAAGCCAGTGGCAGGAAGAAAAGTTTTATAAAAACAAATGCCGGAGGATAGAGATACATGGAAACATACTGCACGACTCTGAAGAGAAAAACTGTAGCCCAAAGTAGAGAGAGGCAGAAATACTTGTCAGTGGGGCTTTCAGGAGTTTCCAAACCCAACATCAGTACACGAAAGGAAAGCAGATAGAACCCCAGGAAAACTGTGGTTTCTCTTCTTTTGATCATTCCTCCTCTCTTTCCAAATGGAAGAAGCAGGGTTCAGATTTCAACACTAACTTTTTCCATCAGATTAAAATCCTAAGACCTCCTGGTAGACAAAGGAGAACTGTTTTAGAGCTATATTAGGAAATCATGGGAGATAAAGGTCATTGGCTTGGGAGCACAGGAAACCAGAGACAAGGAAAGAAAGGGGTCTGGAGCTCTCAATTCAATCACTAGAGACTCAGTAATAATAATGAGAGTTCCATCCCGGAGCAAAACCAACTAAAATGTGTGCACTTAGGAGGAAAGCCCTTATCTGGCATCCACTAAGGGTTGTGTCCAGACGCTCTGTGGGGAAGTCTGATGTATGGTCTAGCTATACCCCTCCAGAGCTCAGCTCACATTCTGGAGAAGCAAGCTGCCCATACTGTCAACTTAATCCTCTATCCATATTAATGAGCCAGAAAATGAATGAACAGATATTTGGGGGAAACCAATATTCAGAAACATTTAAAATGAGAAGAATGAATGGAATGAGCAACCTTGGAAGAAATGGAGATCATCAAGGAGAGGGAAGAGCATTTAAAGTAATTCCAGTGGAATCTCAGAGAGATTTGAGAGGAAATTGCATTCTTCTAGTGCAATCAGAAGGTTGTCAAAGATAAGTCCTTGAAAATCAGTATCACTGTAACCAAGATTAGATCAATTAAATGGATGTGCCGAATGACAGAATGGATAAGACGAAAGACTAAACTGTCATTCTGGGTAATGCTGAAGAACTCTTCCAACACTGTTGAGTAATGATCTTTCTCTTAGGGTGTGGCTGCCTCCTGGGGCACATGAAGACTTCCCAAGGAATACTTGTGTGTGGGCTGTTTTAAAGGCAGTCAGAAAGAAAGTTGAATATCTTTAAAAATATTTATTATTTTTTAAAATTTTATGTGTATTAGTATATTGCCTGCATGTAGTAAGTGCACCCATGTGGTGCACTGCCCATGGAAGTCAGAAGAGGGTGCCAGATTCCCCTGGAACTGGAGTTACAGATAGTTGTTAGCCGCCATGTGGGTACTAGGAATTGAACCTGGGTCTTTTGCACGAGCAGTCAGGGCTCTTAACCACTGAGCCATCTCTCTAACTCCCACCTCTGTATTTTTGATATAAGCTCTTTGCTAAAACATTTCCTTGAGGACATGGCTACACAAATTACCCTCTTTTTCAGTCATTATTTTCTGAGAAGGAAGTTGGGAGTGTCAAATTCAGTCTTCACATGTCTGTGTTTGCCAAGTTGTGTGTCACATGCGTAAAATCCAGCAGATGTGAAGAACAGCCTGCTCTTTTCCTAACCATCTCATTATGGTACATTGAATGCCCAGGATGCAAAACTTCCAGCCTACCAAAAAAGGGAACAATTCCAAATAATGACCTTGAAGAAAGGAATATTCTATTGATAGACTGGGTATCTTTTATATGTCAGGTAGTTTCTAATTCTTCTCTTCCAAAATAAGTGAAAGAGAAGCCAGTGCCTATACGCCAGTGCTAGCCAGGAACACATCTGCAATCAAACAAATTGCGTTTCATACTTGTCCCAAGAAAGAAGAACACACACCATGGTGAGCTGTGAGCCATAAGGGAGCCATGGGTTGTTCTAGTAAAAATAGCATCAGGAGGGGTTGGGATTGGATTAGGAAACTTCAGCAATAGTCCAATGAAGAAGAGTTTTGCATATATATATGTATCTATATAATTTTTATAGTTTATTTATTTATGTGTGTGTGTGTGTGCATATGAGTACAGTGCCTATGGAGGCCAGAAGAGGTCATTAAATTTCCTGGAGTTGGAATTACAAGTGGTTGTGAGGCACCCCACTTGGGTTCTGGGAGCTGAACTCCCAGTTCTCTGCAAGAGCAACAAGTGGTCCTAACCACTGAGCAACCTCTCCAGTCTCTGTACTATATATTAACTTTCTAGTACTACTCTAATATATCACCATAAACTGGGTGGCTTAAAGCAACAGAAATGTGTCCTTTTTCAATTCTGGAGGCTAGATGTCAGAAATCAACATATTAACAAAGTCATGTTTACTCCCAGGCTGTAGGGGAAAATTTTTTCTTGGCTCCAGGTTCTAGTATTTGCAGTCAATCCCCGGCATTCCTAGACTGTATTGCATCACTACAACCTTGACTTCTAGTGTATCTTTTCACATAGTTTTTTTTTTTCCTTCTGTCTGCGAAAAGCTCCCTCTTAGAAAGACATCAGTCATTAGATTAGGGTTCATTAGATTAGGGTTCATTCAGTTCTAATATGATATTATCCTTACTAGATAACATCTATAAAGAATATATTCCTAAACCAGGTAACTAGGTGTTAGGACACGAAAATCTTTTAAAGGAGGAAAGACACACAATAAACCCTACTCTAAATGAGGTACTAGTAGAAAGCAGGGGCAAGTTTGTGCTGAATTTCATAATAATGTCATCCAGGTAAAAGGCTGGTGGACAGCCTGTCTGAAGCTTTGCTTAAAGATGCAGCAGTTATTTGGGTTAGCTGAGACAAGGGATGGTCAGTCATTTTTGTACTTTGGATGAACTGCTTCTTTCTCTTCTCAGAAACAACTGTGGGATGCTTTCTTTGCCTCATTCCATAGTGAGTTCACAGTGACTTGCTTTGATAGTCTGTAGTAGCAAATAGACCCCAATACTTCATACCTCACCCCAGACCTAACTTACAAGTCAGATTAGATACTTGAATCGAAATTAACAGGTGATTCATATATGTGCATGTGTTACATGTATAAAATATGTAATATAATATATATTAAAAACATTGTTCTAGAGAAGATAAAGTAGAAAAGGAAAATAAAAGAATCCATTGACCCCAATGCTTTGAATGCTTTCCTTTGAATGGCAAGGGGTATATTTTACTGTGTTGATTCTTCTCTACAGATTTAATATTCCATTAAATCTTAAATGAGCAATCTTTTGTTATTTTAAGTGTTGTGTGAAGAATTGACTTTTTTTTTTTTTTGTCTTTTGAGACAGGGTCTTCCTATAGCCCCAGCTGAACTTACGAAGTAGACCAGGATGCCCTTGAACTCACAGAGATCTGCCTGCCTCTGCCTCCTGTATAATTGATTTTCAGACAAAACAGAGAGCCGACTATCAAATAATGTGCACATTTCATAAATCTTGACAGAAAAATTGAGGGTGCAGCAGAAAGTTGGAAGATTGTGTCTAATAAATTCTTTTTTAATAAAATTGGTAGTGTTCAAAGTTGATATTAGCAAACACAGAAATAAATTTATGTTTTTGTGGTTTTGATAGCATCCATTGAAAGAGTTAAAAACAAAAATCCTTCCCCAGTGGGAAGTCACTGCAATTGTTTTGTTAGATGGAAACGGTGCATTTCCTAAGCACTGGCCAAGCATTTGTGTTTACACCCATAGGTTAAGTTATTATAGCGTCACTGTTTAGATGTTCTTACTTCTTGCTGTATGTGTTTTCACAGTAGATGGAATCCCACTGAAATTGGCCAACAGCCCACGGAAAACAGATGATGCAGAGACCCGAAAGTTCAGTGTCTTGCCACAAACAGAGGAAGATCATCCCACACCTACCACTCCCTCCAAGGCTCAGGGACTTTTTCAGAAGACGTTGCAGGAAAGAATGTAAGAGCTGGAGAAAAAGGTGGGGTGTTAACTGGAACTGTCCTCTGACCACTATGCACTATGCCTGTAAGCTGTAGTCACACCTCCTTCCCAGGCTCATAAAGGAGTGGAGGGAGGAGTCTTACCCCTCCCACCCAATCAGTAGACCTTAGCTGCATGTGGAGGGTGAGGCAAAGTATATATAAGCCAAGAACACCAAGAAGCACCTTCTCACAATTGTATGCATCTGTCAGGATCTGTATTTGAGTGTGGACTTTACAATGCAGCTGCAAATGTGGGGCGCCCAATCTTCTGTAAATAAACCACTACCCTATTCTCTCTTTAAAAAAACAAAAGAAAAGAAAAGAAAAAACCCTCAGAATCCTGGAAAGCCTGAAAAAGTCTGTCAGGGGAGATCTGTGAGGTCAAAGTATTTTCAAGAAAGTGTTAAAATGTTATTTACCTTTATCACTTAATTACTTGAAAAAGTTAAACTATTCCTCTCTTTCTGGAGTCTAGGTGAGACTAGATTGCTTCAGATAATTCAACCAAGACTCAAGGGGTTAAATACAGAAGCAAAAATGTCACCTGTTCTTCCAAACAGCAAAGATTTTAAAAAGTAGAAAACCAGCCAGTAAGTCTTTTGCCTGCAAGGTTATTTTTACAGTGCAAATGTTTATATTAACATTGTTATTGGTATTTTATTTTATTTATTTATATTTGAGGCAGGTTCTCCCTGTCACCCCAGCTGGCCTGTAACTCATTATGTGGTCTAGGCTGGCCTCGATCTTACAGGGATCCATCTGCCTCTGCCTTCCAAGTGGGACTAAAGGCATGTACCACCAATCCTGGCCCCTATTATTAGGATATATAAAATACATGATCTTTAATTTATGACACACTAAATATCAATAGATGTAACCTGTCTTGTTAATTTTAAGAGCATAAAGGGGCCTGCAAAAAGCTTGAGAACTGCTGTGCTGAAGAAAACCATTGATTCTCATTCATTCTTTGAAAGCTTTGTTTGTTTGGTGGTGCTGAGGATTAAGTCCAGGGCCTCATGCATACCAGGCAAGTGTTTGAGTTGACTACGCTCCAGTCTTCATATTTTACTGATATGGAAGTCTCTGAGCTGCCCTTCTTCTCCTGTAAAGTTAATTTTTGTTCCTAGGTTTTCTTGCATATATACATATACACACTATATTAAGCTTTATTTTATTATTATTATTATTATTATTATTATTTTTTTTTTTTTTGTGTGTGTGTGTGTGTGTGTGCCTGTGGAGGTTGGAAGAAGCTTTTGTATTCTCTGGAGCTGGAGTTACAGGCCATTGTGAGCTGCCTCTGTGGGTGCTGGGAATGGAACTCCAGTCCTCTGTAAGAACAGAAAGCACTTTTAACCACTGAGTCATCTCCCCAGCCCACTCGCTATTATATTTTGTATCACATATCACTACTTACTCTACTTACTTACGTATATAGATTTTTATTTTATTTTTCACCACCTGAAAAGTCTCCCCTGGGTTGCTTCTTCTCTGGATGGCCCAGTCCACCACATGTTGCTTGCTCTATTCACTACATTTTAATTCTACTTTCTCCTCTTATTCACCATTATCTCATTCTCTATTTGTTTTATTAAGTCATGTTGCAAACAAAGACAGTTGGAGAAAGCATTTAATGCTTGTATTTCGATTACAAATGTACCTTGTAGTCCAAACCGTCAGAGCAGTTGAAGACCACACACTGGACAGCAAGAGCTTTTGCTAGATCTTTGGTGGTTTCTGTTTTCCCGGTGCCAGCAGGACCAGCTGGTGCACCTCCAAGATCGAGTTGCAAAGCCCCCATGAGGCAAAGATAGCAGCGATCCTGAGAAATCCATCAATCGGCGTTACTGACGGGAACTGGCTTCAGTCACAAATTTTTAAGAACTTTACTTTCTAATAGGAAGGTCCCTATTTTCTTTGTGTATATATGTTTGTGTATGTGTGTGGTGTCTGTGCATGTGTGCATGTGTGCAGGGGTGTACGTGTGAGGATGCATGCACATGTACAGTGTGTGTACTTGTCCATGGAGGCCAGAGGTTGACACTGGATGGCTTTCTCGATTGCTCTCTACCTTATTTTTTGAGACAGGGTCTCTCACTGAACCTGGAGCTTACTGATTTGTCCAGGGATGGCTGACTGTGAGCTCCAGGATTCCTCCTGTTTTTATCTCCCTCGTGCTGGGATTATAGGCAGTGCCACCACACCTTGCTTTTATGTGTGTGCTGGGGATTTGAACCCAAGTCTTCATGCTTATGTGGCAAGCCCTTTCTGTACTGAGCCATCTCTGTAGCTCTGAGACCCACCATTTTCCGTGAAATATTGTAATTGCAATGTACTCAGAGATCCATATGCTATAAATTAGATAATGCAAATTTTTGCTTTATGAAGATATAGTGATGATGAAAACTTTCAAAACTGTTCTGATGAAAAAGCACTCTTGTGATAGAATGACCCTAAGTGATCAGTAATTTACCGTGAGAGGAGTGATGACCAGCCTCGGGCATGCTCCCAAATACTCATAGCCATAAGTGTACTGAGAGAGTGCCATTCTAGCCACGCAGTTATCCAGGTCTATATCCCAGTAATAGCGCAGTTGTCTCTGCCAATCGAAGGAGTCGGCTGTGCTTACCTATGTGACAGAAATGGTATACATATTAGAGACGCTGATTTCACAAATAACTACATGATTTTTCCAATTTTTCTTCAATGAAACATTTACCTTGGCTTGAACAAGTTCGGTGACTATATCTCTTGCATGCACATCAATGGTAATCAATGCAGTTATAATGTTTCTGTGTAATTTTGGAAGACTGCCTCGAACTATCACAGCCAGGGCATTTAATCTCTACAAATTAAAGAATTGTCACAGTGAATTTTACAACATCAGTAAAGACACACACACACACACACACACACACACACACACACACACACCATTAAATTTAGAGAGGAACATGTATTAAGACCATCTAAATTTAAGACTTTGTAATTCTGTGACCAAATAACACAATATTTTATTTACTTCTCTTAAGACTTCTGTGATGCATAGACCATCTTGACCTCTGTTTTTGCATTTGATCAGAGAGGGTGAGTAACTCGATAGCCGTCAGAGTCTGAAGTAGTAAAACTAGACTTGAGTGGGCATTTGTGTCAGAAAGCCCCTGACATATGATGGAGTCTTTGGGGAAGACTGTTCTTCCTAAAATTTAAGTGTGGTTAAAGGTGATATTTCTTCTTCTCAGGGGCAGTTTTTCTACTAATAATATAAAAAAAACCTGAGCATATTAACCTGGCCAATGACTAACTGAACACAAGTACTTTTAGAAGCTTTAGGTCCTGATTTACCTAAATTATTATATCGTCATCAAAATAGGGTGGTGCTTCTGAGGGCCTTGTGCCACTGGGCAGGATTTTCACACTCAGAATTGACAGAGCTTGTTCTGGGTAAACAGTTCTCTGTTCTGTGATGCTGGAGACAAAATTCCATTGCTGAACTTCCTGAAAGTGTTTTCTATCATTTCAATATATTTGTTCTCTTCCTTTGTTTTTCACGTGTGACTCTTTAGGAAGGCAACATTGCTTGGAAGTGTAATTAAGTTTGGAGTTAAAGATCAGGCTTAGGTACTTATCAGTAAGATAATTTCCAAATCTTTTTTTTTTTTT